AAGAACTTAGTTACCTGTCCACCTTACTATTATTAGACAAATTCATGAAAAGAACAGAGAGGCCACACTAAGTATATCTCTCCCACAGTCTTTCAGCAGAAAGCTCACCTACTAAAGACAACTGAAAGTCATCAATGACTTTCAATTTCTTCTCTAGATACCAAGTAATCCTACAGTTCTTCCTGAGAATTCTAGTCCTTTACTGACCTGACAGCTGAAAACAACATTTAAGATATAACTTCTGGCCGGCGCCGCGGCTCACTAGGCTAATCCTCCACCTAGCGGCGCCGGCACACTGGGTTCTAGTCCCGGTCGGGGCACCGGAATCTGTCCCGGTTGCCCCTCTTCCAGGCCAGCTCTCTGCTGTGGCCCGGGAGTGCAGTGGAGGATGGCCCAAGTGCTTGGGCCCTGCACTCCATGGGAGACCAGGAGAAGCACCTGGCTCCTGCCTTTGGATCAGCATGGTGTGCCGGCCACAGTGTGCCGGCCATGGCAGCCATTGGAGGGTGAACCAACGGCAAAGGAAGACCTTTCTCTCTGTCTCTCTCTCACTATCCACTCTGCCTGTCAACAACAACAACAAAAAAAGATATAACTTCTAATCGTCTACTTTCACAGGTTGAGATACACTTTATTAAACCCCCTTGGAGGATATTGTGTATGTGCGCATGTGTGTGTATACACTGCACATGCTTGGAAAAAAGAACATGCAAGGTCAGGGAATTCAATGGCAGATGACAAGATTACACATACTATCCTTTACTTTCTTCCATCATAGCAAAGACATTTGGGGGAAGAATTTATAATCCCATGTTTATAGACAGAATGAAAAGGGATGTTTCCATATCATCAGTAGTTAACAGTAACCATGATGCACACCCACACCAAGATCTGTGAAATTTTTTTTAAATGCTAAAACAGTAATGTCATAATAGCAGTTTTAAGTACTGCAATTTGCTAAAGAAAAATACTACTTCCGTGTTGTTTGGGCGAGTCTAGACAGGAAAGTCCAAAGTCTATGAAATCTGAAGCTTCCCTAAACAAACTAAGAGCTGGGAAAGGAGCTGATAACTTTGACAGGGCACTACGACACTGAATATGCAGTCTAAGAAGTCCTGCAGGCTATATACAACTGAAGTAGTTTCTCCTTTCTTAAAAAAATGTATTTATTTTCATCTATATGAAAAGCTGAATCACGGGGGGTAGGGGGGTAGAGAGAGAGAGAGAGAGAGGTATTTTCCATCTACTGATTCACTCCTCACATAGGGAAAGCCAAGGCAGGAGCCAGGAGCCAGGAGCCTGGAGCCAGGAGCAAGGAACTCCATCCAGGTATCCCATGGAGGGCCAGGGGCCCAAAAGCTTCAGTAATCATCCGCTATTTTCCAGTGTGTACATTAGCAGGAAGCTGGTATCAAGGGCAGAACCCAGACTCAAATTCAGGCACTCCAATTTGGGATGCAGGGATCCCAACCAGCATCTTACCCACTAGGCATAAACATTCCCTTTGTGCTGTTTCCTGATTCTGAGAATCCATGAAATAATCTTAAGAGTAAAAAAAATTTCAAAGTAGTTTCAAGGCAAACTACTGGAGACCTACCAAATTAAAGTCTATTAAAGGAAAGGTTCCAACTAGGAATACTCAGTTTTATTCAACTTCCCAGGAATCCCCTGGTACACTAAAGATTGAGGAACACTAACTTTAACATCTTAAGAAACTCATTATCAGGGCTGGCGCTGTGGCATAACGGGTAAGGCCGCCACCTGCACTGCCAGAATCCCATATAGGCACCGGTTCAAGTCTCGGCTGCTCCACTCTGATCCAGCTCTCTGCCACAGCCTGGGAAAGCACTAGAGGATGGCCTAACTCCTTGGGCCCCTGCACCTATGCAGGAGACCGAGGGGAGGCTCCTGGCTTCAGATCGGCGTAGCTCTGGCCGTTGTAGCCATCTAGGGAGTAAACCATCTGATGGAAGACCTCTCTATCTCTCTGCCTCTGCCTCTCTGTAACTCTGACTTTTAAATAAATAAAAGAAAAAAAAAAGTCATTGTCATTATTGCTAAATACTGACAGTTTGTGGATTCAAAAGGCTTCCACAGATTAGGCAGCTCATATCAACAGCCTTGGGTAGTCACTGACATCATACATAAGAGTGTTAATTGTTAAATTAACAACAGGATTCACTGTGCACTTACTTTCCATGCAGGACCTCTGTCCTCAATGAGTTGTATTATAATAGTTAACTGTAAAACTTGTTTTCAAACAGTTTTGTGTGTGTGTGTGTATGAGTATGCACACAAACTGCTGAAATCTTTAAGTACAGAGTTGGTCTTCTGTATATAAAGTTAATTGAAAATGAATCTCGGGGCCAGCACTGTGGTGTAGCAGATAAAGCCACCGCCAGCAGTGCTGGCATTCCACGTGGGCACCGGTTCAAGTCCTGGCTGCTCCTCTTCCGATCCAGCTCTCTGCTGTGACCTGAGAAAGCAGTAAAAGATGGCCCAAGTCCTTGGAACCCTGTACGTGCGTGGGAGACCCAGAGGAAGCTTCTGGCTCCTGGCTTCGGATCAGCATGGTTCTGGCCGTTGCAATCTATTGGAAAGTGAACCAGTGGATGGAAGACCTCTCTCTCTCTGTCTCTCCTTCTCTCTCTGTATAACTCTGGCTTTCAAATAAAATAATTTTAAAAAGAAAGAAAGAAAAATGAATCTTAATGGAGAATGGGACTGGGAATGGGAGAGAGAGGAGGAGGAGGGATGGGAGTGTGGGTGGGAGGCCAGGTATGGTGGGAAGAACAACTATATTCCTAAAGTTGCTGCTTAGGATGCCTAGGTCCCAGGCTGGAGTGTCTGTGTTAAGTCACAGTTACTCCTCACTTCTGATCCAACCTCCAGCTGTGGGGAGCAACCCGGACTAGACTGTTACTGGAATTAAGACTTATTCTATGCATCTGCTCTCCCACAATATGGCGCTGGGAGAGGAGAAAACAGTTTCTACACAGCTGCCTCCAGTTCAGCCAATAAACTGTAGGACTTGCTCCTGATTGGAGGATAGCAGCGTACTCAGCGTGTGGGCAGCCGAGTTAGGATTGGCGGAGGAGGACTATAAAGGAGGAGAGAGACGGCATGCACCAGGAACATCTAAGGGAACACCTGTGCAGCCCCCGAGAGAGCCGGCCGGCGGTGTGCCGCTCCCCTGCGGAAGTGGGGAATGTGGCCAGGGGGAACCGCCCTTCCACGGAGGTGGAAGGGACAGTAGCCAACCCGGGAAGAACCAGCAGCAAACCCGGGGAGGGCCGAGCAGACGAAAGAACAGCGCAGGGTCCTGTGTCGTTCCTCCACGAAGACGGGGAGCGACATCCAGCAAATGTGGCTGGGGGGGCAGCAGATGATGGGACAAGTCCTCTGGGTCCTGTCACCAGGGTGGGAGATCTCAATGGACTTCCTGGCTCCAGGTTTCTGCCTGGCCCAACCCCTCCTGTTGCAGGCATTTGGGGAGATCCATCTCTCTCTCTCTTTTTTTTTTTTTTTTAAAGATTGATTTATTTATTTGAAAGGCAGAGTTACAGAGAGGCAGAGAGAGAGAGAGAGAGAGAAAGGACTTCCATACGCTGGTTCACTCCCCAGATGTCTACATCAGGCAGAGCTGAGCCAATCCGAAGTCAGGAGGTCTCCCACACAGGTACAGGGGTCCAAGGATTTAGGCCATCTTTCACGGCTTTCCCATACACATTAGCAGGGAGCTGGATTGGAAGTGGAACCATGGGGACTCGAACCAGCATCTGTATGGGATGCCAGCACTGTAGGAGGTGGCTTTACTCGTTATGCCACAGCACCAACCCCTCTCTCTGCCTTTCAAATAAATTGATCGTTATTAAAAAAATATGACATTGCCAAATGCTGTGAGAGGGTGAGAATCCACATGATCTGACACATTGCTGCTGGGTTAAAAATAGGTGCAGCCATGCAGACAGCAGTCTGGCACTCTGCAACCTGGCAATTCCATGCCCAGCCACATTTGCAAGGGAAGCGCGTGTCTAGTGTAACAGGGACACACGCAGGAATGGTCACGGAGCTGCTGGAATAGCAATGAACATGGACACAATTCAAACGTCCATCAGTAGAAAAGGAAAAGATGAATACTGTGGTACAATCATAAACAAAACACGGTATCATCCAACAGTCCACACAAGAACTACAGAAGTTTACAAGGTGATCTTGGCAACTGATATTGTTACACAATAAAAAAACAAGACCTGAAAAGATTACACACTGCATGATGTCACCAGCTAGAAAAAACTGAATAAGCTGTTCTTCATGTAAGGAATATAGCTACATATGGAACTAAGGAAATGAGGAGCTTGTGATTTAGAATGCAAGACACCAGTTACCTAAGAAGGTAGAGAAACCATAAGACTGGAAATTCACAATCAAGGTCTAGATGTTTTTGATGTGGGCTTGCGGGTCAAAGTGTATATGAGAGCATTTTCTATAATTTAATTCTTTTAAAACAAATATTGCAATTTGTATATCTTCAATCAATTACTAATGGCATTGAACATATTTTCTTATGGCTTTTGGCTATTTATAGTTCTCTTATTCACTTTTCTACTAGCATAATCACTAGAAGTTTTTGTTTCTTTTTGGAGTTTTTCCTTTTCTTTACACTTACTGACTTGGGGGTAACAGGCACATTAACTTTTTCTTGAAATTATCTTAATTAAAGTACAGAGACCTCTAGAATAATCTCCCAATGTGTTTTCCAGTGAAGCAACTCAATGACCTACAAGCTTTCCCAAATACGAAGAACCAAAGCCTGTAGGAGCTGGTAGAAAAGGTTCTGAAAGACCAGCATTTGGGTGCAGAAGGTTAAGCTACTGCCTGCAAAACTGGCATCCCATATGAGCACCAGTTTGAGTCTCAGCTGTTTCCGATCTGATCCAGCTCCCTGCTAATGTGCCTGGGAAAGCAACAGAAGATGGCCAAAGTGCTTGGGCTCCTACCAGCCATATGGGATACCAGGATGGACTTCCAGGCTCCTGGCCTCGGTCTGGCCCAGCTTCAGCTGTTGTGGCCATCTGGGGAGTGAACCAGCAGATGGAAAATCAAACTATCTCTCCAACCACCCCCCACCCACCACATCCCTCCTTCTCTCTCTATAACTCTGCTTTCAAATAAGTAAATTTAGGGGCTGGTGTGCCAATTCGAGTCCTGGCTATTCCACTTCCAATCCAGCTCTCTGCTACGGTCTGGGAAAGCAGTGGAAAATGGCCCATGTCCTTAGGCCCCTCCACCCAGGTGGGAGACCCGGAAGAAGCTCCTGGCCCCTGGCTTCGGATCGGCACAGCTCCAGCCGTTGCAGCCAACTGGGGAGTGAACTAGCGGATGGAAGACCTATCTTTCTCTCTCTCTGCCTCTCCTTCTCTCTCTGTGTAACTCTGACTTTCAAATAAATAAATAAATCTAAAAAAAAGAAATACCCCCAAAAAATTAAAAATGAATAATTAAAAAAAAAGCCTCTTGGCCTACGTAGTCATCGTGCATACAAACCTGAAGGTTAGGGGACTGAAGGTCCGAAGTTACCAAGGAGTGGTTGAAGTGATACAGAGCAGCAGCAAACTCTTCATCTGATGAACCTTGAAGACAAAGGGAAGCCAATTATTCCTGCAGCTGACATAGCACACTGCCCTGCCAACAGCCAAGCCCCACTAGAAAAATCCCCACAGGCACACGTCATATCCACTGACCCTTCAATCCATCCTTGTCCACCTCCTTGATGATACTGGCCAGGGTGGCCATATGATGTTCTGACAGAGATACACTCAGATAGTTTCGGATAAAATTATTCCTAGAGTTCAGCATGGAAGAGGTGATGAAGTTCAAAATGTTGGAAGCCAGACCTAAGAACTAAAAGAAATGCATAAAAGTTCACATCAGTTATGAGTGCAAAGCTCCTACAAACCACAAATATTTGTAAGAAATACAAGATGCCGGAACCAGTGCTGTGGCACAGCGGGTTGAGTCGCAGCCTGCAATGCCGACATCACATATATGGGTAACAGCTCAGGTCCTGGCTATTCCTTCTCCAATCCAGCTCCCTTCTCTCATGTGGTAGCAGAGACCTGAGTACTCTGATCCATCACTTGCTACCTCTCAAGGTGTGCACTAGCAGGAATGTGGATCAAAAGCATGGGCAGGACTCTAACCCAGCTGCTACAACATGAGATTGGGGGCATCTTTTTTTTTTTTTTTTTTGACAGAGTTAGACAGTGAGAGAGAGAAAGAGAGAAAGGTCTTCCTTCTGTTGGTTCACCCCCCAAATGGCTGCCATGGCCGGAACTACGCTGATCCAAAGCCAGGAGCCAGGTGCTTCTTCCTGGTCTCCCACACAGGTGCAGGCACCCAAACACTTGGGCCATCCTCCACTGCCTTCCCGGGCCACAGCAGAGAGCTAGACTGGAAGAGGAGCAACCGGGACTAGAACCCGGCACCCATATGGGATGCCGGCGCCACAGGCGGGGGATTAACCAAGTGAGCCACGGCACTGGCCCAGTATCTTAACCACTGTACCAAATGACTCCACTTTCTAGAGGCTATGATAGTAACCACCAACCAGAGAAACAATACCAGGAGTACAAGTTATTTAATGAAACATTATCAATATATTTATGTCCTAAGCAAAAATATCTAAACATTATATAATTATAATTATCCAATTATAAAACATGCAAACGATCTGCTTTTCACCACATCCCTTCTCCCCACATCCGCATCTCTGAAACCTCAGAAATTCACTCTTACCAATTCAGGATCTTTGCGACTTGCCAAAATGTTGCCCTTTTCCCCAGGGGCCTGCTTACTGGGGCTTTTAACACGAGGCGAGCTCTCCAGCGGGGGAGGTGGAGGAGGGGGCGGGGGTGCCACTTTCTCTTTACTGGGAGAGATGGTCTCCTCAAACCACTGCCCCAAAATAGGCTCGCTGTCATCATCTGAATAGGGAAATAAAAAGCAACAAAAATATGAATTTTATTTTTTTCAATACTGATAGATTTGCTTTGTAAAAGTGGCTAGGTCAAAAGGCACACAAGAATATCCTGATTGTGGTGGGGCTTAGGTCACACAGACTTATCAAAATGTGTCTAAATGTATACATGAGAGAATTTTAGTGATTGTATAACAAATTATACCTCAATAAAACTGCTTTGTTTTTAAAGGAAGCACAGGAAAGGAAGAGAAACAATCACATTTTACTGGAAATGAGCCAAACATTTCAAACGTAAATTTATGCTTATCAAATGTAAACCCCATGATGTAAGAACCACCCATCTCTCAATATCTCACAGGGATCCAAGATATTTATCTTCTTCACTCTCCAAACTACGTCAGAGGGAATGTTAGTTTGGCCCTGTCGTCTATTACAAGTCATGAGTTTCTATATTTATGCTTCCCTGAGCTATGAATCTATAATAGCCAAACGAAATACCTCTCATGTGACCTTTTGATTTTCTACAAGAGCTCAGTCAGTGTAGGGGTCACAAAACGGGTCTACATGAGGAGAAATTTGAGCAGCTGAGATATATTTTGGTTCTGGAGGACAAGCAATGAGAAGCAACCTGGGCTTGGCTGCAAGTAGTATACATCACTCAGACCTCAGTAGTTCAACCTGCTCTATTTAAATAACATGCTACTTTAGAATGCACACACAATCAAGGTGCAGGCTAGGCAGATACAAAGCGGTAAACAGTAACCCTCTGGGAAACCTCCCACTGCCCTGTGCAGCTCACTCCTGGACAAAGCAAACAGCAGCCTCTACCTTGGCTGCTGTCTTCCTCTGTGCTACTGAAATCATCCTCGTAGTAAGTGTTGGAGTCCGTGGAGGCGCTTGCGTCACTGCTCATGGAGCCCTTCCTCTGCCGTTGCAGGACACAAGCCTAGGAAGACAGCAAAGCTTCTGTAAACAATGATTGCAAAAATGCAGCCATCCTGCTTAACCTCATTCAGCACATGAAAACGTTTCTCCATATCTCACTTTTTATTCAAAATCTGAGAAGTCTTTCTCCAAAGACTTTCTTCTTTAGGACTCTGCTGGCTTTATCCCACAAACGCACTCCCAACCAGATATGAATGGGAACTTCAGAAGGGAAGACTTCCAGACTTTCCTCAGAGTTCTGTTGTTGTCTTTAATATTTATTTGCTTAATTTCGTTTATTGAAAGGCAGAATATCAGAGCAAGAGAGAGAGAGAGAGAGAGAGAGATTTTCCCCCCACTGGTTCACTCCTCAAATGCTTTCAACAGCCAGGGCTGAGTCAGGCCAAAGCCAGGAGCCAGCAACTCCATCCCAATTACTGGACCATCACCCACTGCCTCCCACGATGCATTAGCATTAAGATGGACTGGAAATCCACAATGGTGCTCTGACAGGGGACACAGGCATTTCAAGTGGTAGCTCACCCAGTGTGCCACAGTACCCACTCCAAGTATGTCCTTTGCTTTTGCTTTAGAAAGCCAATCATACAAACCACCAAGCGGCCACATATATCACAACACTAATAATCAACAACAGATTAAAATGTCAGGATTACAGGCAACCAGTTAAGAATTCTTCTCCTCTTCACAATTATTACCACAGGGCAAGCACTGAGGAACAGGAGTTTATCAATGTGAGTTCTGTCCGCTGTGCTCCCAACCCAAGTACCTGCTAATGTGCCAAGGAAAGCAGCAAAAGGGCTCAAGCGCACGGGTCCCTCTCATCCACATGGCAGACCCAGACAGAGTTCCAGCCTCCTGACTTTGACCTGGCACAGCCCTGGGGGCTGTTGCAGCCATGTGGAGAATAAACCAATGGATGAAAGATTTCTTTTTCTCTGTCTCTCCCTTTCTCTGACACTCTTTCAAATAAATAATAAAAATCTTTTTAGGGCCGGCGCTGTGGCATAGCGGGTAAAGCTGCCGCCTGCAGTGCCGGCATCCCGTATGGGTGCCGGTTCAAGACCTGGCTGCCCCACTTTCGATCCAGCTCATTGCTATAGCCTGGGAAAGCAGTGGAAGATGGCCCAAGTCCTTTGGCCCCTGCATCTGCATGGGAGACCTGGAAGAAGCTCCTGGCTCCTGGCTTCAGATTGGCTCAGCTCTGGCCATTGCAGCCAATTTGGGAGTGAACCAGAGGATGGAAGACCTCTCTCTCTCTCTCTGCCTCTCCTTCTCTCTCTGTGTAACTCTTTCAAATAAATAAATAAATAAATATTTAATAAAATATTTTAAGAAAATTATCACAAATATCCATTTATAAACGTCTTGGTGTTATTATCAGTCTTATTCAAAAAGATTACATATTATAAGTTCTTCTGAATAAACAACCCACCTTTCTGTAGGAGGTTGAGAGTAACGTCAAGAGCAGGTTTGTCAGTGGCACGGAGTCAATCAGCCGTTGAATCCTTTGTATGGAAGTGCTCTGGGCCATAATGCTCAGGACTGCAGGGGGCCCATCTGTCTCCCAACCCTGAAGGTAAAAAAGATGAGTGAATGAAATGACTCAGCCAGAAAGAATGACCTAAGTCACCAGACCAAACTCAGTTACCCAGAAGAGGGTCCAGCAATTAGTATGCGGATTCCCTGAGAATGACCTCCTCACCTTGTGAAGGGCCTCCACCTGCAGGTCTTGAAAGAGAGAAGTTAGCAGCTTGATGGCATGGTTTGCTAATATTACTGAGAGCACCCCAAATCCCTGATGCCTGTACAAAGAAAAAGGAAAACACAAAACTTAAAATAATTAACAATGAGTTACAACCTCTGACACAATGCATCTTGCTATTTTTGAGTTCACAGAACCCTGTGAGCATCTACAGCTCTTCCCCTGTGCACACACACACAAAATCTGCATATCATTTCAGGAGGTCACAGACTCACTGAATCCCATCCGTGGCCTGCCTAAGGATCAGCAGGCTTCGGTTAGGAACTCCTGGCCCAGAAGAAACTCTTCCCAATCAATGGGTTTTGTAATTGGAGCTATCATTTCAAAGCCTTGGGGACAGGGGCCAGCATTGTGGCACAGCAGGTAGAGCCACCGCCTGGCATCCCATGTGGGCACAGTTCATGTCCCAGCTGTGCCTCTTCTGATCCAGCTCCCTACTAATGGCCTGGGAAAAGCACCAGAAGATGGCCTCAGTGTTCGGGCCTCTGCCACCCACATGGGAGGCCCAGATGCAGCTCCTGGCTCCTTTGGTCTGGCTCAGCCCTGGCCGTTGTATGTATCTGGGGAGTGAACCAACAGATAGACGATCTCTCTCTGCATTTCCCTCTCTGCAACTCTTTCAAATAAATCAATCTTAAAAAAAAGCTTTGGTGTCATGTGAAGATGCTGACATTTAATAGTTGGTTGAAGTTTTAAAGAATCATTTTTCTGAGAAGAAAAAGATTAATATTACCGACTTTTATAAAATATCTGAACAAGTCTAAGAGAATTGAAAACAAGGTTTTACATTTCATTTAAGCAAAACTTTCCTTTTATCCAGAATATACATGTCATTTAACAGTCATATAAATCAGTAATATTAAAGGACAGTTTAAGCACTTGTCACAGCAACTAAGCGTCCATTGAGGATGTGTGTATTCTGCACTGGGGTGCCTGGATTCAAGTGTCAGCTGCATTTCTGATTCAACTTCCTGCTAATGGGCACCCAGGGAGACAGGAGCTGATGGCTCAAGAACCTGGGTCCCTGCCAACCATGAGGAAGACCCAGAGTAACGTCTGGGCTCCTGGATTAGGCCTGGCCCAGCCCTAGCTGTTGTGGGCATTTGGGGACTGAATCAGTAGATGAAAGATCTCTAGGGGCCAGCACTGTGGTACAATAGGTTGATCCTCTGCCTGTGGCACTGGCATCCCACATGGGTACAGATTCTAGTCCCGGTTGCTCCTCTTCCAATCCAAATCTCTGTTGTGGCCTAGGAAAGCAGTAGAAAAAGGCTCAAGTGCTTGGGCCCTTGCACCCATGTGGGAGACCCAGAGGAAGATCCTGGCTCCTGGCTTCACTAATTGTCTCTCTCTCTCCTTGTCTCTCTGCCTTTCCAATAAAAAAATTTTTAAACAGAAAAAAGGGGCTAGTGTTGTGGTATAGCAGGTAAAGCTGCTATTTGCAATGCCAGTACCCCATTTGGGTGCCAGTTCACATCCCGCTGTTCCACTTCAAATCCAGTTCCATGCTAATGGCCTAGGAAAGCAACAAAACATGGCCCAAGCTGGGCTCTTGCCCCGGATGTGGGAGATCCAGATGAAGTTCCTGGCTTAGGCTTGGCCCAGCCCTGGCCATTATAGTCATCTGAGGAGTGAACCAGCAGATGGAAGATCTCTCTCTCTGTCTTTCCCTCTCTCTCTGGAACTCTAGCTTTTAAATAAATACATAAGTCTTTACAAAAGAGAAAGAAAAGACAAACATCAAAGAGAAAACTAAGGCAAGGACATAGGCACTTTACAAAAACAAACAAAAAGGACCAATGAATATATGAAATGGCGTACAATTACAGTATTAACCAAAGAAACACAGTAGAAACAATGTCATAGGATTTTTCTCCTCTAAGCAAACATGAAGACTAATGATACCCAGTGTCAAAGGACATGTGCATACACAATACATGGGAATGCAAATCAGTGTTAACTTTCCTAAGAGTTTAGCAACATTATACATGTCTGTAAGCCAGCATTTAGCCCAGAGCTCTTAAGACACCTGCCTCCCACATCAGAGTGCCTAGGTTTGATTCCCAGCTCCTGACTCCAGCTTCCAGCCAAGCAGACGCTGCGAAGTAGCAGTGATGGCTGGAAGAATTTGATTCCTGCCATCTACATGGAAAACCTGGATTGAGTTCCAATCTCCCAGTTTCAGCTCAGGCCAGCCCCAGCTGTTTCATACATTTGGAAAATGAATCAGCAGATAGGTACTGTCTCTCTTTCTGCTTCTTACTTCTGAAAATGTGTGCTCTTTGTCCTAACAATTGCACTTTCAGGAATTTGCCCCAAAAGGACAACTAAACAAGTTCCCAAAAGTTTATCAACGCATGATTGATCAAAACAAGAAATTTGGGAGTCAGGGCTAGCATTGTGGCAAAGCGGGTAAAGCTGCTGAGACGCAAGCATCCCATATGGGCACCAGTTTGAGTCCCAGCTGCTCTACTTTAAATCCAGCTCCCTGCTAATGTGCCTGGAAGGCAGCAGAATATGGCCCAAGGGTTTGGGCCCCTACATCCATGTGGGAGACCCAGAATAAACTCCTGGCTTCTGGCTTCAGTTTGGTCCAGCCCTGACTGTTGTGGCCATTTGGGGAGTGAACCAGCAGATGGAAGACCTCTCTCTCTCTAACTCTGCTTTTCAAATAAATAAGATTAATCTTCTAAAGAAAAGAAAAAGAAATTAGCAGCAACCTATTAAATAGCATGCATCAGTAGAGGAATTAGTCACCTATGATATATTTACATAGTAGAATACTACCAGCCATTAAATGATTGGATATACTCTGCAACAGTGTCACTGAAAAATATTTACAGTATTTTATATAGAGTGATCTCAAGTTTTGTAAATTTATGTATTTTATATATGTGCACAAAAAACTGTCTGGAAGAATGGTTTATCTATCTCGTAGAAATTGTGAAGATTTTGGAGCCATCACTGTGGCACAGCAAGTAAGCCACTGTCGGCAGCACTGGCATCTCATATGGGCTCCAGTTCGAGTCCTGGCTGATCCACTTCCAAATCAGCACCCTGCTAATGCGCCTGGGAAAGCAGTGAAAGACGGCCCAAGAGCTTGGGCCCCTGCACCCATGTGGAAGACCCAGAAGAAGCTCCTGGCTCCTGGCTTCAGCTCAGCCCATCTCTGGCAATTTAGACAGCCATTTAGGGAGTGCACCAGAGGATGGAAGTCCTCTTTTTCTTTCTCTCTATCTCTTCCTTTTGGATTAAAAAAAAATCTTAAAAAAAAAATGTGAAGATATTTTTCTATTTTAATATTTACACTCATCTGTGTGATTTGAAGCTTACACAATGCATATGTGTCCTTTTTTTATTTTTTTAAAGATTTATTTTATTTAAAAAGTAGAGTTACAGAAAGGCTGAGGCAGAGAGAGAGAGGTCTTCCATCCACTGGTTCACTTCCCAGATGTCCACAACAGCCGAAGCTGCACAGATCCGAAGCCAGGAGCCAGGAACAACTTCTGAGTCTCCCACACGGGTGCAGGGGCCCAAGGACTTGGGCTATCTTCCACTGCTTTCCCATTTGGGGAGTGAACTGGCAGATAGAAGATCTGTGTATTTGCTGCGAGTGAGAGAGACTCTGCCTTGCAAATAAAAATAAACATTGTTTTAAAGTCCCCATTAGGGGCCAGCACTGTGGCATATAATGGGCTAAACTGGCAGCACCAGTATCCAATATGGGCTCCGGTTTGTATCCTGGCTGCTCTTCTTCCAATCCAGCTCCTTGCTATGGCCTGGAAGACCTTTCCCTCTGTCTCTCGTCTCTCTGTCTGTAACTCTACCTCTCAAATTAACAAATAAAGCTTTAACAACAACAAAAACAGAAGTCCCCATTATAATATTCTTTGGATACATTATGACATATATTTGTATGATTATCTAGAAGATGGAAGATCTATGTATCACTCTGTCTTCCAAATAAACATTTTTAAAATGACATTACAGTATTTTTAGATATAATCTGACATGTTTGTGTGAATATCTCACGTCTCTTGGCAATATGTCCTTTTTGTTGCTGTTCATATAGCACTCCAGACTAACCCACAGCTAGGACAGAGAAGACACTCAATGAATAATTTGTTGATGAGGTCCAGAACTTGACCTCTTCCTTGAACTACAGATTCAGATATCCAAACTCAGCCTACTCAACATCTCATCAGGAAGCCTAGTAGTCACCTTAATTCACCATAGCCAAGATTAAACTATTTCTCCTCCTTCCTTCCACTCAACCTATTCATAAACCAGCATTACCTAAGTCAATACATTACACAATCCAGTTGCTCAAGCCAAAAACGTGCATTGTCATCGTTTTTACAGCCGACATCCAAGGCATCAGCAAAGCTTCTCAGCTGCACCTTCCAGCATATTCAGCTGGACCTCTTTTCTCTGTCTTGGCCACTACCACCCTATTCCAAGTTGCAAGTTTGGAGTAATGCACTATTTTCCCTCTTTGCTGTCTTATGATTCTGCCGCCTAGTCTCCATACAACAAGTGGATTCTAAGATCCTTAATGAAGCATGTCACGGCTCTTCCCTGTTGAAAACCCTCTAACAATTACTCCCTGCACTTGTTCCCAAATGATCTGGCCACTGGCTTCCTCTCTGACCTAATTTTCTATAATTCTTTTTGATTTCTTGTTAAAGATTTATTTATATATTTGAAAGGCAGAGTTACAAAGAAAGGGAGAGACAGAGACAGAAAGAAATTGGTCTTCCATTTGCTGGTTTACTCCCCAAATGGTAGCACCAACCACAGCTAGAAGAGGCTGAAGCCAGAGGTCAGGAGCCAGGAGCTTCATCCACATCTCCCACATGGTAGCAGGAGCCCAATCACTTGGGCCATCTTCCACTGCCTTCCCAGGCACATTAGCAGAAGTGGAACAGCTGGGACTTAAACCAGCACCCATCCAGGATGCTGGCGTGCAGATGGGGGCTTAAGCCGCTGTGACAAAACACCAGACCCTAATTTTCTACAACTCTTGCCCCTCAATTTCTCCATTCTAGCCGTGCTGATCTTGCTGGTCATCAAAAACATCAATCACACTTCCGCCTCCAACCTGAGCCATTCTACCCAAATACTTACATGGTATTCTCTGTCTCATAACATAGAATCTCCATAGCCCATCTGCAGAGCCCTTTCTGGACCATACTAACTAAATACTTGCCCAACTCTTGCTAGCTCCTTGCTCTGGCTTTTCTTACAATACTTACTGTATGTGACAATCTATAATGTATCTGTTGGTGTACTTTGTTGGCCCTTCCACAGTTAGACAATTAATTTCATAAAGGCAGGGCATTGTTTTTTCTAGTGCAAAACCCTCAACACTTTGAGTGCTTAGCACGTCATAGGAACTGAATGAATAAACAATAATTCTTTCCAAGCTAGCAAGGCTTATGGCACAGACTTCATCAAAAACAGTTTCAAATGTTTCAAGAAGCAAACAGCAGGATGACAATACTCTCACCCTTATATGCTAACTACACAAGTACTCAACTCCAACTAAAACAGACCCAGTTACAAATCAGAAGCACATTCTCTAATTTGAACTTCATAAAAACCCTAAAATATAAACTACAAAAATATTTTCTCCTTGTGACAGATGAGGAAACAGGATCAAAGGGAATGGGTGACTTATCCAAAATTGTGCAGCTATGATGTAGAGGGAGGAGACCACGGCCATCAGCTGAATTGTTAATTTCAAACCAGGTAAAAGAGAAGTTTTTTTTTGTTTTTTTTTTTTTTTTTGACAGGCAGAGTGGACAGTGAGAGAGAGACAGAGAGAAAGGTCTTCCTTTGCCATTGGTTCACCCTCCAATGGCCGCTGTGGCCGGCGCGCTGCGGCCGGCGCACCACGCTGATCCGATGGCAGGAGCCAGGAGCCAGGTGCTTTTCCTGGTCTCCCATGGGGTGCAGGGCCCAAGCACCTGGGCCATCCTCCACTGCACTCCCTGGCCACAGCAGAGAGCTGGCCTGGAAGAGGGGCAACCAGGACAGAATCCGGCGCCCCGACCGGGACTAGAACCTGGTGTGCCGGCGCCGCTAGGCGGAGGATTAGCCTAGTGAGCCGCGGCGCCGGCCCAAAAGAGAAGTATTTCTAATACAAACAGGAGTTACACTAGTTCCTCATCAATACAAAATGGCAGAGAAACAAAACAAAACAAAAGGAAATGAAACATAAGTTTCTACTCATCAAATGGACACATACCCTTTTCCAGGCCCCAGTTTAGGAGAGCCCACTCCTTCTTTTGTACGAGAAAGGATGTCTCTGACTCGGAGAGCAGCCAGTGGATCTTTCTCTTTCCCCTTATCAGCCAAGGCAGTAGGACTCAGGTTCAAAATGAGGAAAAGGCTGTTTAACAAACACCAGGCACCCAGCAATTGGAAGTTCTGATAGTGCTGTTGTAAAAGGCACAAAATGAAACATGAACAAAGAGATATTCACGTCTCAGCAACTATAAAACAGAAACACCGCAGAAACATGCTCCTCACCTCACCACCAGCCCGGCGTGAACTGCTGATTGCTTGTCCAATCATGTCATAGATTTCAAGCTGTCCAATATCAAAGAGACAAAAAACCTGAGCAAACTGACAGATTTCATTATAAATGCTAAATCTTACACAAATTAAATTACCTTGAACAGTTAAACGTCCCGGGTCCCTTTTCAATGATCACATTCCTGATCTTCACAAGGAGCTGAATCCCAATGCCACCTTCTCTGAGGTGACATCTAAAGCAGGACTCTGAGCCCCATGTCAGCTTCGATCACAATTTATGAGGCACTTCCCACTACATGACATGACCTTCACTGCATGTCCCTCGTGAAAGGACACTGACACACAGTCAGCCCTCAAATATATTTGCAAATGAATGACAATCCTTCACAAGGACCACTGCCACCATAAAGTTGTCACATAGAGAAAGGTAAGCATCTGTGCAAACCAGTACGTCAAATGAGCAACCTGAACACCGACCCTCTAGATCCACCACCCAGGAAATGCAGTGTGGAGAATACACCAAGTCCTTTCCTCTCTCCAAGAAGTAAGTGGAACTGGCCACTTTCTCTCATTTAAACAACCAAGGCGCCCATATTCCCACATGGTGGCTTACACATTTCTGGACAATCGTAGCTGCATCACTTTCATAGTCTTCTTCTTTGGAGCTCGTAGACCCTGTCCGCACTTGCTGGGCACTGCCTACATGAAGGATGGCCATGCAGGTTGCCACACTCACACCTGAGAAAGAAGATAGACTGCAATTGTGGAGCACTCTCAAGAATCCACAAAACTGAAACACAGGAACTAGTGTTCTAACAGTGGGGTAGGCTGCAATGTGCAACACTGACATCCCATATCAGAGTGTGAGGTTGAATCTTGGATACTCTGCTTCCAGTCCAGCACCTTGCAGATGTGCCTGGGAATGCAGCAGAAGATGGTCCAAGTACTTGCACCACTGCAACCATGTGGGAGACCCAGATGGCATCCTGAGCTCCAGGTCGTGACCTGGCCCAGTGCCAGTTGTTATAGGCATTTGGGGAACCAATCAGTGGATGGAAGATGTCTCTTTCTCTCTAAATCAACCTTTCAAACATATAAATATTTAAAAAATACATTTTCAGGGCTGGGGCTATGGTGGAGAGGGTTAAGCCTCTGCCTGCAACACTAGCAACCCATATGGGCACCAGTTCAAGTCGCAGCTGCTTCACTTCCGATCCAGCTCTCTGCTAATGGCCTGGGAAAGCAGCAGCAGATGGCACAAGTCCTTGGGCTCCTGCACCTATGTAGGAGACCTAGAAGAAGCTCCTGGCTTCAGATTGGCTCAGCTCTGGCCACTGCAGTCATTTGGGAGACCTCTCTTTCTCTCTGTCTCTACCTCTCTCTGTAACTCTTTCAAATAAACAAAATAAATCTTAAAAAAATAAAACTTGTATATATGAAATACATGAAATCTGTTCCCCTTAAATAAACAAATAAATAAGAAATCCCCTGAAAACTGGAAGTAATAAACCTCAAATTTACAAATCCAATGTCAAAGGCAGAGCACTAGGAAACTGCAATGAAAATTGGTCTGGAGAGAACACATTTTATTTTTCTATTTTTTTTTTAATGATTTATTTATTTGAAAGTCAGAGTTACACAGAGAAAAGGAAAGGTAGGGAGATCTTCCATCCACTGGTTCACTCCCCAATTGGCCACAATGGCTGGAGCTGCGCCAATCCAAAGCAAGGAGCCAGGAGCCTCTTCTGGGTCTCCCACCTGCCTTCTTCTACTACTTTCCCAGGCCTTAGCAGAGCTAGATCGGAAGTCAAGCAGTGGGACTTGAACTGGAGCCCATATGGGATGCCAGCACTGCAGGCGACTTTACCGGCTATGCCACAGCACTGGCCCCCTCTTTTTTTTTTTTTAAGATTTATTTATTTAGGCCGGCACCGTGGCTCAATAGGCTAATCCTCCGCCTTGCGGCACCGGCACACTGGGTTCTAGTCCTGGTCGGGACGCCGGATTCTGTCCCGGTTGCCCCTCTTCCAGGCCAGCTCTCTGCTATGGCCCGGGAGTGCAGTGGAGGATGGCCCAAGTGCTTGGGCCCTGCATCCCATGGGAGACCAGGAAAAGCACCTGGCTCCTGGCTTTGGATCAGCATGATGCACCGGCTGCAGCGCGCCAGCCACAGCAGCCATTGGAGGGTGAACCAACGGCAAAAGGAAGACCTTCCTCTCTCTCTCTCTCTCTCTCTCACTGTCCACTCTGTCAAAAAAAAAAAGATTTATTTATTTAATCGAAAGTCAGAGTTACATAAGTAAGGGGGAGACACAGAGAGAGATCTTCGAACCACTGGTTCACTCCCCAAATAGGTCCAGGCTGGACCAGGCTAAAGCCAGGAGCTTCTTCCAAGTCTCCCATGTGGGTGCAGGGGCCCAAGGACATGAGCTACCTCTGCTGCTTTCAGAAGCACATTAGCAGGGAGCTGGATCGGAGGTGAAGTAGCCACGCCTCATACCCATTTGGCACCAATATGGGATGCCAGTGCTGCAGGCAGTAGCTTAACATGCTACACCGCAGTGCTGGCCCCTAGCTTTCTGTTCTTAATGCAGCTGCTCTAGGTCAGGTCTTAGAATATCTTGCCCAAATGATGGCAAATTCCTTCTAACTGGTCCACTTGCCTCTAGTATTTCCCACAACACAATATCCTGCATACAGCTGCCTGAACAATTTTCCTGAAATATAGATCAGATCTTGTTACCCTTTTAAATCAGTCTACAAGACAAGGTTCAAATGACTGCAGTCCTACTTCTGTTCAGCTACACAATACCCACTGTTACCCACAAAGCCTATAGACCAAAAAGCTTATGTTGCACTAGCTCTTTCTTTTTCCTTCATTGCACCCTTGAAAGTAGCCTGACAAGCGCCACCTGCAAAAATAAAATCAGGGTTCTTACTCCCATCAGGTCTACTCAAACCAGCATAGTCTGCAAGGTGGGCATCATGGCACAGCTGGTTAAGTTGCTGCTGGGAGACTCACATCTTTCACTGGGGTGCTGGTTCTAATCCAGCTACTCCCCACTTCTGATTCAGTTCCCTGCTGATGAGCCTGGGAAGGAAGATGCCATCTGAAGTACTCGAGTACCTGCCACCCACTTGGGAAACCCGTATGGAGTTCTGGGCTCCTGGCTTCGACCTGGCCCAGCCCTACTGTTGCAGGCATTTGAGGAGTGAACCAGCAAATGGAAGATCTCAGTATCTCTCTTTCTCCTTCTGCCACTGTTGGCTATCAAATAAATAAACAAAACATAAAAAAAAAAAAAAAAATAATACAACCAGCATGGTTGAAAACACAGACCCAGTATATGCTGCCAGAATTTCTAACAGTATACAGAAGATACAGGCTTCATAAAGTTGAACCAAGTGGCCTTCCTGGAATGGTTTACCCAAGACATCCACCCAATGAAAAACCATGCTAGATCTTATACATAAAATAAAATAAAATAAAATAAAATAAAATAAAATAAAAATTCAAAGAGGAGGGTAAAAACTATACGCTTATACATACACCATCCCCCAAAATCTAGGCTACTTCTGGCCCTGCTTTCACTTCTACCTAGGAATGGTTGTGATGAAATGCTACCTGTCTTAAAAAATACAACACCAGAACTCCTTTATAACTACTGCCTCCTCCAACTGAAAGTGAACTCTGCCTCCTCTAACTTCCATAGCATTTCCTCTTCACTCTCATTCAGTATCTTACACATAAAAATTATCTACTACTATCCTCTAAAAGACAGTAAGGTCCCTGGGAGCACAGATGCCTTTATCTTTATACTCTTATTTGTACACAAGCTTCAAACTGAGGCTGCTGAAGAATTTAGGGAGATCAATCTACCTCTCCAATTTCTTGGTGCTCCTGAGACTGCCTACTCAAACCTTCATGTGCAAAACCAAGCAAACATCTGAAGTTGTTATCAAGGCTATGGTACGTCTTAGAGTTAAACCAAGGATCAGTGATTTGGGTTAAAAAATGACTTTGACAACAACTGAAAAGAGAAGAAACATCAGCTGTCAGACCTCGCTTCCAAGGCAGCAAAAGCAAGAGGAAAAAAGGGGATTTTAAGGGAACGTGAATAACATTCTTTATATTCCAGGAAGCCTCATTTAAACCTGCACTGTACCCATAACAAGATTCAATATCTCCCCTCTTTGTCCAGAAGATTCTGTATTTCTCCTATTGCCTTTTCATTTTTGTTTTTGAACAGGCAGAGTTAGTGAGAGAAAGAGACAGAGAGAAAGGTCTTCCTTTTTCCATTGGTTCGCACCCAAAATGGCCGCCATGGCCGGCGCACTGCGCCAATCCAAAGCCAGGAGCCAGGTGCTTCCTCCTGGTCTCCCATGCGGGTGCAGGGCCCAAGCACTTGGGCCATCCTCCACTGCCTTCCCGGGCCACAGCAGAGAGCTGGACTGGAAGAGCAGCAACCAGGACAGAATCCAGCGCCCCGACCGGGACTAGAATCCGGGGTGCCGGTGCCACAGGCCTCTCCTATTGTTTTGTTTTGTTTTGTTTTTGTTTTTGACAGGCAGAGTGGACAGTGAGAGAGAGACAGAGAGAAAGGTCTTCCTTTGCCGTTGGTTCCCCCTCCAATGGCCGCCGCACCGTGCTGATCCAAAGGCAGGAGTTAGGTGCTTCTCCTGGTCTCCCATGGGGTGCAGGGCCTAAGCATTTGGGCCATCCTCCACTGCACTCCCGGGCCACAGCAGAGAGCTGGCCTGGAAGAGGGGCAACCGGGACAGAATCCGGCGCCCCGACCGGGACTAGAACCCGGTGTGCCAGTGCCGCTAGGAAGGATTAACCTAGTGATACGTGGCGCCGGCCCTCTCCTATTGTTTTTATCACCCCACTTTATAGGATACTACTGTCTTTCCTCCATTACTCAGGTATATCGTCTTCAAGGGCAGGAACTATGTATTATTTTTCTCAATATAAAAACAGTCCTTGGCCTTTAAAATAGTAGACAATATCTGCACATCCTATGAAATCAACACAATTCCAGTAGTAAAATAATAGATCAGGGGCCAGCACTGTTGTGCAGTGGGTTAAAGCCCTGGCCTGAAGCGCCAGCATCCCATATGGGTGCCGGTTCAAGTCCTGGCTGCTCCACTTCCAATCCAGCTCCCTGCTATGACCTGGGATAGCAGAGGAAGATGGCCCAAGTCCTTGGGTCCCTGCACCCACGTGGGAGACCTGGAGGAAGCTCCTGGCTCCTGGCTTCAGACTGACACAACTCCAACCATTGTGGCCATCTGGGGAGTGAACCAGCAGATGGAAGACCTCTCTCTCTGTCTCTACCTAACTCTATAACTGTCTTTCAAATAAATAAAATAAATCTTTAAGAAAAAAAAAGAAATAATAGGATCAATGACAAAGTTTCTCAGTGAGACCTCATTTCACCTAGAAGAAAGGGGAAAAGAGTGCCCAGAGGATTCTTAAGCTTCTTGAAGAAAAAAAAGTTTCCTGAAAGTACTTGTTCTTGACAGAGAAAATGACGTCAGACAAAACGTCTCACCTGCATACAGACAACTGAGGCTGAGGACCGTCACATCTTGTAGACGGGAGGGACTGAGAGGCTCCAACACAGGTAAAGAAAGGGTATCCAATGCCATAGTCACATCAATCACTAGGGAATGAAAACTGGAACATAACAGAAAGATCTTAGAATCACTCACTTTTAATTTGATAAACAAAATCAGCATCCAAAAAACTAACCAGCTGGATCTCTTTCTCATTTGAATGCAAAGCATAAGCAGGGTGGAGTACCTTACCCGTTACGAACTGCAGTGGCATCTGCAACAGTTGCAGGCATGATGAAGAAGGAATTGGCCAGCACTGCATCTTGGAAGCGATTGATGTAACGTAGGAAATATGGCAGGTTCAAGCATACACGCAGCAGCTTCTCTGAGCCACCTGCATCAGTGGAAAGGCACCTTACAAACAGCTCTCACAGACTTCTGTAAGCAGAGGAACCAGCTTTCTGACAGTCATTGGGAATCTTACCAAGCTCTTGAAGACTAGCCACATTCTGAGCTATGAAGACATTCTTGGTTTTGATAGCAGAAGCTTGATCTGTGGATGATTGCTCATCACTTTCCCCTTCCACCTGAAGAAAAACACAAGGCCTGTCAGGACCCTGTGCACTGCCTGCCACCCTGGAGTTCAGAATCAAACCAACTGTGCAAAGTAAGCAGTAGCCCCGTGGACACGCTTCAGATTTCCAGTTAAGAGTGGAAAAACATTCCTCACTAATGTTGGAGATGATACAGTTTTTCTTTTTATAAAGACTTATTTATTTGAAAGTCAGAGTTAGAGAGAGGAGAGGCAGAGAGAGAGAGAGGTCTTCCATCTGTTGGTTCACTCCCCAACTGGCTGCAATGGTCCAAAGCCAGGAGCCAGAAGCAGATTCCGGGTCTCCCACGTGGGTGCAGGGACCCAAGGACTTGGGCCATCTTCTACTGCTTTCCCAGGCCATAGCAGAGAGCCAGATTGGAAGTGGAGCAGCCAGGACTTGAACCGGCGCCCATATGGGATGCCGGCGCTTCAGGCCAGGGCGTTAACCTGCTGCACCACAGCACCAGTCCCAGTATAGTTTATTTTTCCAAGATCAATCTCTCTGTGTGTCTGTTTCTGACTCTCCTTCGCCCTGTAACTCTGCCTTTCAAATAAATAAAACAAATCTAAATATACAAATTCTATGGATACAGAGTGATATCTTTTATAGAAAACCGTAATATGTTATATTTGTCCATTTGTGATAAGGAATATTTAGATGAACAGTGATAAAAATAGTAATAACTATGGAGAGAGGAGCTAGAGAGAATTTTTTGCTTGAATTATTCAATTATTTTTTCTAGCATGGCATGCAAATCACATTTTTATATTATTATCTGAAAGGCAGAGAGACACAAGAGACAAAGATCTCTCTCCTGCTTAATTTTCCAAATGCCCAAAATACCCAGGCCTGGGCCAGACTGAAGCCAGGATCCTGGAACTTAATGTGGTCTCTGACATGGGTGACAGGGACCCAACTACTTGCAGTCATCACCTGCTGCCTCCCAGGGTGCTCACTAGCAGGAATCTGGAATCAGGAGCAGAACAGGACTTGAACCCAGGCACTGTTCAAACATCAGGATGCAGACATCCCAAACAGCATCGCTCTTTTTTTAAAATGCTTTATTTATTTATTCAAAAGGCAGAGTTATAGACAAGGGGAAAAAGAGAGAGAGAGAAACTTCCACCTATTGGATCACTCCCCAAGTGGCTGCAACCAAGAATCCAGAACTTCATCTGGGTCTTCCACATGGGTGCAGGGGCCCAAGCACTTGGGCCATCTGCTGCTGCTTTCCCAGTTCCTTAGCAGGGAGCTGCACTGGAAGTGGAGCACCTGGGACTTGAACAGGTACTCATATGGGATGCTGAAATTGCTTAACTTGAAGTGCCACAACACCAACCCCCGATTTTATATCACAAACATCAAATATGTCACTTTCATATTCTAGGGTTACCCTCTTAAATCCAGAGATGAGGACATCTGTCTGACGGAACTCACCAGAGTCTGCGGACTGACAGGTGGAGATGCTATAGTTCTAGGATTAAAAACTGAGGTCAGCTGGTTCAAAAAATTCATCTGGACCTCCTTCTGCCTCAGCTCAGGGCTTACTGGTGAAGCCAACTCTTTCTGATCCTCCACTGTAAAACACAAAAGCACAAAAAGGGATGAGAAGACCACCACCCAAAGGTAAAACAGGAAGAAGCTGGCTAGGAGGGTGGCCACGTCACCAGGTCTGTTGACGGTACCCACCATCTGAAAGCGTCTTCACTGTCTGTGGTAGCTTGGCAGATTTCATCATCGCCGTAAATGTGATGATTTCAGTTCTATCTAGTCGACTACAGCCAGTGCATAGGCCCTTGATTAGAAGAATCAAGTGTTTCTGAAAAGAAAACAAATTCAAATTATGTCTTTCAATAGGTGTCTTCCTACTTTTAGGAATTCTAATGGGTAAAGGGCCAAATTTAGGCTCATAGAAATAACTATAATTTGAGAAAAAACATTATAGCAGAGATTACATGCTGACGGCTCTCAGAGAACATACTTGGCTTGCAGATTGGTCTTAATCTGTTCACAGTATTCTGTTTTAATTTAAAGTTATGGCCAGCTTTTCAAAAATGGGAACGTTTCCCTTACAAATAGCAGTGATTCACCAGACAGAGCACTTTGAGTCTCCATTCCTACACAGCTGCAATCAGCCAGGGCCAATAGTATTTTGCCCTTGTAGTTGGGGCCCGAAACCTTCTCAACTAGCACATTTTACTCATTTTGTTTCCTGCCTGATCCATGTAGGTATGTAAATTTCCAGTCCTTGAAAAAGATCACACAGTTCCATGTACAAAAGATTAGCAAACTACAGCCCCAGTGCAGTCCCAGGCCCATTTCAGTAAGTTATGTTTAATGGAGCACAGCCAAGTTCATTCATGTGTGTACTGAACATGGCTTCTTTCACACTACAAAGGCAGTGACTATTTGCAAGAGATACCATGTGGCCTATTAAAGAAATGTTTTACCAACCTCTGCTCTATGTCATCCATTCTCCATCAATTCCATTAGTCACAATCCTGCCTCAAAATTAGGACCAGAAATTGGGCCCATCACTCTCACCTGGGACACAGCACAAGCCTCATCTGGATTCTCCAGGCGCAGGAGAGAAAACTCAATTAAGACTTTACACGCTGCTGCCACCGACTGAAGCTGGTTCCGAGGAACTAAGAAAGATATAAATTTTACTTAACCTCAGACTGTTCAGCCTTACAGTCAATAAATCAAGCAAAACAAGCTTTGAGCTGTATATTCCCAGAATCCTTAATATCATTCTGATAATTATTCACAACCAACAATCCAAGAGACTAAGGTATTCTGACAGATAACCATCAGCTAGTTACACATCAATTTGATCTTAAAATCACTGGAAATTAAGATAATTATAATAGAAAATACTCACATCACAATCAGCACCCAGCTCTTCAAATATATTAACTCATTTAATCCTTAAGCCAATTCTATGAAATAGATATCATCTTCTTCCCCTCAATTTTTGTTGTTGTTTTTATTTATTTGAAAATCAAGAGTTACAGAGAGGAGAGACAGAAAAATCTTCCATCTGCTGGTTCACTCCCCAAATGACTGAAACGGCCAAGGCTGGCCCAGGAAGAACCCAGGAGCCAGGAACTTCATCTGAGTCTCCTAGGTGAATGGTAGGGGCCCAAACCCTTGGGCCATCTTCTGCTGTTTTCCCAGGTGCATCAGCAGTGAGCTGGGTCAGAAATGGGGCACTCAGGACTTGAACTGGCACCCATGTGGGATACCAGCACCACAATGCCAGCCTCATCCTTACCCTAAATTTTTAATTTTTTTTTTTAACATCTATTTATTTATTTGAGAGGCAAAGGCAGACAGAGATCTCCCATCCACTGGTTCAGTTCCCAAATGGCTGCAATGGCTAGAGTTTGGCCAATCTGAAGCCAGGAGCCTCTTCTGCGTTTCCCATTTAGGTGCAGGGGCCCAAGGACTTGGACCATCCTCTATTGTTTTCCCAGGCCGTGGCAGGGAGCTGGATTGGAAGTGGAACAGCCAGGACTCGAACCGGTGCCCATATAGGATGCTGGCACTGCAGGCAGTGGCTTTACCTGCTATGCCACAGTGCCATCCCATCTTTCCCTTAATTTTAACAGATGATCAAGGTGAAGCAAAATGAGGTGAAATAACTTGAACAAAAGCACAACTAGATTAAAACCCAAGAAGTCTGCCTCCAGAGTTCATGCTCTTAAACACCACATTATACTCTCTCTCTCCTTTCCCATAGGTTCTAAATGAATTTCCCAAAAGAAAAACAAAATTTCCTTAGGTTAAAAGTGACTCTTCCAGGGTCGGTGCTGTGGCATAGTGGGTAAAGCCGCCGCCTGCAGTGCCGGTATCCCATATGGACACCAGTTCAAATACCGGCTGCTCCACTTCCCATCCAGCTCTTTGCAATGGCCTGGGATAGCAGTGGAAGATGGCCCAAGTCCTTGGGCCCCTGCACCTGCATGGGAGACCTGGAAAAAGCTCCAGGCTTCTGGCTTTGGATCAGTGCAGCTCCAGCCGTTGTAGCCATCTGGGGAGTGAACCAGCAGACGGAAGACTTTTCTCTCTCTCTCTCTCTCTCTCTCTCTCCCCCCCTCTGCCTCTCTGTAACTCTGCCTCTCAAATAAATAAATAAATAAACTTTTTAAAAAAGATTTATTTATTTACTTGAAAGTCACAGTTACACAGTGGGGGGGGGGGGGGTCTTCCATCCAATGGTTCACTCCCCAATTGGCTGCAACGGCCAGAACCATGCCAATCTGAAGCCAGGAGCCGGGAGCAGGGGCCCAAGGACTTGGGCCATCTTCTACTGCTTTCTCAGGCCATAGCAGAGAGCCGGATTGAAAGTGGAGCAGCCGTAGACTTAAACCAGCGCCCATATGGGGTGCTGGCACTGCAGGCGGTGACTTTACCCGCTACACCACAGCACCTCTACCCACTACGCCACAGTGCCAGCACCAATAAATAAATATTAAAAAAAAAAAAAAAAGTGATTCTTCAGGGGCTATGCCTGGGAAAGCAGAAGACAGCCCAGGTGCTTGGGTCCCTGCCACCCATGTGGGAGACCAAGATGGAGTTTCAGGCTCCTGGGTTTAGGTTGGTTAGCCCTAGCTGTTACAGTCATCTGGAGAGTGAACCAGCAGATGGAATATATCTTCGTCTCTCCCTCTGTTACTCTGCCTTTGAAATAAATTTAAAAATATATAGTTCTTAAAAATCCCTTCACATACTAGACAAAACGGAAGAACTCACACTCTCACCAGAGCAAACAAGCAGCAGAGCCTTAGTTACTAACCCCATGTGTTAAGAAATTAAAACACCAACAATGACATTAGTGAAATCAATGAAATGTTTCTGACCAAGAAAGGAAAGGATATGAATTAATGGTTATGAAGCAGGTATCTAAGCCCAACAGTTTTTAAACCCCACTTAGGGGGCCGGCACTGTGGTGTAGCAGGTAAAGCCTCAGTGGTGCCAGCATCCCATATGGGCACTGGTTTGAGTCCTGGTTGCTCCACTTTCCAATCCAGCTCCCTGCTAATGCGCCTGGGAAAACAGTGGAAGATGGCCCAAGTGCTTGGGCCCCTGCACCCATGTGGGAAACCTGGAAGAAGCTCCTGGTTTCAGATTGGCCCAGCTCTAAACACTGTAGCCACTTGGAGAGAGAACCAGCAGATGGAAGAGATCTCTCTCTCTCTCTGCCTCTCCTTCTCTGTAACTCTTTCAAATAAACAAATAAATCTTAAAAAAAAAAAAAGAAAAACCTCATTTGGGAGGCAAGTGTTTGGCACAGCAGTTAAGCTGCCACATGGGACAACCCCATCCCATACTGAAGTGCCCAGTTTAATCCTGGCTACTTTACTTCTGATACAGTTTAGTACCTGGGTTCCTGCCACCCCTGTGGGATATCCGGGTAGAATTCTGGGCTCCTGGGTTTAACCCAGCCCAGACCCACATCTGTCTATCTCACTGCCTTTCAAATAAAATGCAAATAAACAAAATTTAACTCCCACTCTTTTATTAGCCTAGATCAGGGACCATCTGGGGCCTCACCATCACAGACAGCTGTCTCCACTCCTAGGTGAACTCTACTCTTAGAAGTGCTAAAACATGGACTTCATTAACAACTTGTTCAGACACTCTAACAAGAGAACAAACAATCCTCCTATTCACAAGCTCTCAGAAGGCAGTGACAGAGTGGAATACTTACTGAGGCTGCAAACGGTTGTAATATAGTGTGTGGAAAGTGCAACAAAAGATGAGTAGAATGGCTCATACTGCTTCTCATGGTGCAGGATTTCTGATTCACTGCAAAAAAAAAAAAAAAAAATTCGGACATTTACTTAGTGCTTACTATGTGTCAGGTACCCCTTTGTAGGCACTGGCTTATTTAATTCTTTAGGCAATCCTACTTAGTAGGTAGTTATATTATCTGCGTATTCAAGATTGAGAAAGCAAAGCTTCAAGAATTAAGTATCATGTTCAAGCTATCAGACTCAACATGATGAGGGGGAGCACTTGACACACTAATTATGAAGCTTCCTGGGAAAACAACATCCCATACAGGAGTGCCTGGGTTGGAGCCTTAGCTCCACTTCCAATTCCAGTTTCCTGCTAATGTGTACTGTGGGAGGCAGCAGATGATAACCAAAGTACTTGGGCCCCTGCCACCCATGTGGGAGATCCGGATGGAGTTCTTGGTCTTGGTTGTTGCAGGACCAACAAGTGGATGATCTCTCTCTCCCTCTCTCCCTCCCTCCCTTTCAAATAAAATGAAAACAGAAGAGGAAGGAGAGGTGGGGATGGGGCAGGAGAAATAGGGGAGGAAGAGCAGCAAAGGTTAATATAAAGAAAACATCTTCAAATTCACTTAGAACATAAAGAAATGAGAAAAAACATAATACTGTATTTTCCTATATCACTGATTGGCAAATACCAAAAGCTAATTGATAACCAAAGAGAGTAAAGCAGGGCACTAAAATACTATTAGTGGGAATACAAATTAAATAATACATTTGGAAGATCAAACAAGGTTAGCCCATAATGTAGTTAATTAGCATCAACGAAACAGTAGACACCAAACGTGGAGGAAGGGTGGGGAGGTGCCTGACTTGATCAGTGTACACTGTACGCATCTGTCGAAATAGTGCACTATGCCCCATAAAAGGTGTACAAGTATACATGTGAACCCAAAAAAATTTAACAAAAATTGGGGCTACTGTTGTGGCACAGCTGGGTAAGCCACTAGCGACACATCACATATGAGCTCTGGTATGAGTCTCAGATGCTCCACTTCCGAATCAACTCCCTGCTAACACGCCAAGGAAAGCAGCAGAGAATGGCCCAAATACTGGGCCCCTGCTACCCACATGGGATTCCCAGATGGGAATTCTAGGCTCTTGGTTTCAGCCTGGCCCAGCACTAGCTGTTGCAGCCATTTAGGGAGTGATCCAGCAGATGGAAGATTTCTTTGGTGCTGAGTCTCTCCAACTCTCTCTGTAGCTCCGTCTTTCAAATAAATAAATATTTACAAAGAAAAAATTAAAATAAATTTTAAATAAAAATCAACAACTCAAGGTAAGAGAAATTTTCTGATTTCTGGGGCCAGTGTTGCGGTACAGCAGATTGGACTGATATCCGCAATGCCGGCATCTTGTATGAGCACAGGTTCAAATTCTAGCTCGTCTACTTCCAATCCAGCTCCTCGTTAATGTGTCTGGGAAAGTGTCAGAGAATGACACAAGTGCTTGGGCCCCTGCTACCCACCTGGGAGACCTGGAAGGAGTCCCAGTCTCCTGGCTTCAGCCTGGCTAGGCCTAGCCATTGTGACCATTTGGGGATTGAACCAGCGGATGGAAGATATATGTATATATCTATATGTCTGTCTTCCCCACTCCCATAACTCTGCCTTTCAAATAAATATTATTTTTTTTAAAGAAATTATTTGAGCAGTGCTAAAGTCCAAAATTCACCAGGTACAAGTCATCCCCACCTCCCCCTGTGTGCAGGCTAAAGCTAGATCACAACAGATGCAGTGACTTTTATCCACACCCTTGTCCCGGCTGAGGAAATGCCCTCTTCTGTGAAAATCTGGAGCCCACCTTGGTCTAAGGCCTGGATACATGTAAATCAGCTTCTCTACCAAATCAGATGCTAATCCACAACCCCTGAAATGTAAAGGCACTAAAATGTATATTTTCATTTAAATCAAAAGGGCAAAGAGATGTGACTAATACCTTCCCCCCGGAGAAGCTTCCTAGCAAGAAGTATCAGCCTAGGAAGGGAAATGTAAGCAGAACTCTGTTCACTGCCAGCAAGACTATCCACCTGCCAAATGAACACAGGAGCCAAAAACACCAATGTGGGGCCGGCGCTGTGGCACAGCAGGTAAAGCTGCCGCCTGCAGTGCCAGCATCCCATATGGGCGCTGGTTTGAGATCCGGTTGCTCCACTTTCAATCCAGCTCTCTTCTATGGCCTGGGAAAGCAGTAGAAGATGGCCCAAGTGCTTGGGCCCCTGCACCCACATGGAAGACCAAGAAGCTCCTGGCTCCTGGCTTTGGATCGCCCAACTCCAGCCGTTGTGGCCATTTGAGGAGTCAACCAGTGGATGCAAGATCTCTCTCTCTCTGCTTCTGTCTCTCTATAACTCTGTCTTTCAAATAAATAAATAAATCCCTAAAAAAAAACCAAAAAGACTGATGTTCGGAAGGCACCAATGTGAGTGACGAATCACCTCTAAAAACACTGAAGATGAGGCTGGCGCTGTAGTACAGCAGGTTCCTGGAATGTTGCAGTTCCACATGAGTGCCTGCTTGACTCCCGGCTGCTCCACTTCCAATGCAGCTACCTGCTAATGTACTTGGCAAAGCGGAGGAAGATGGCCCAAGTGCTTAAGCCCCTGCTACCCACGTGAGAGACCTGGATGGAGTTCCTGGCTCCTGGCTTAAGCCTGGCCCAGCCCCAGCCATTGGGACCATTTGGAGAGTGAACCAGCAGATGGAAGATTCTCTTTCTCTATAACTGTGTCTTTCAAACAAATAAATCTTAAAAAAAACACACACACACACACACACACACTGAGGAGTCTGCCACTGCAAACTATTTAGGGATCTATCAAGAATAAATGGGCCGGCGCTGCGGCTCAACAGGTTAATCCTCCACCTAGCGGCGCCAGCACACGGGGTTCTAGTCCCGGTCGGGGCGCTGGATTCTGTCCCGGTTGCCCCTCTTCCAGGCCAGCTCTCTGCTGTGGCCAGGGAGGGCAGTGGAGGATGGCCCAAGTGCACCTCATGGGAGACCAGGAGAAGCACCTGGCTCCTGCCATCTGATCAGCACGGTGCGCCAGCCGCAGCGCGCCAGCCGTGGCGGCCATTGGAGGATGAACCAACGGCAGAAAAAGGAAGATCTTTCACTCTGTCTCTCTCTCTCACTGTCCACTCTGCCTGTGGGGGAAAAAAAAAAAAAAAGAATAAATGGTAATGTGTCACAAAGCAGTCCTTTAGCTTAGACTAGCCCCTTATCAAGAAAAAAACTTATGCAGCACATATGATGTGTGAGGATCTTCCTGTCCACCAAAGGTCACTTCTCCTTGTTTGTCAGGACAGATGAAAAGGAAGAAACAAAAACCTATAAATACCAAGCAACACTTAAAAAGTCCCTGTTGTATATCTGTCACCAAACTCCCAACTAAACCCTTCCTTTTGCATTAGTTTTTCTTCCATTTCCATACTTGTACATGTCTATTCGTCAAAGGTTTTCCCACTCTATAATGTAATAATGTATAATGTCTTACTGAGCCATTTACCTTCTCTGCTTTATTTCAAAAGTTCATAGCCACTCACTCTTTTTTTTTTTTTCCAGAATAGGTTTACCAAAGGTATGACAGAAACTGTCAACCTTAAGGATGAATTTATTCTGTTTCTCTCATTCCTATTCTGATAATGAAATACACCCACAATGTAAGAATAAACTCATTTAATTGTCTCATTCAATGTCACCCCACTGTAATTTAACAAACACAACATCCTCCCCGAGATATATACAATAGCCTTTTTCCAGTAAAGAAAGAAGGGGCCAATATTGAGGCATAGTGGGTTAAGCTGCTGCCTGCGACACCAGCATCCCATATGGGCGCCAGTTTGTGTTCTGGCTGCTCTACTTATGAACCAGCTCCCTGCTAATGCACCTGGGAAAGCAGCAGAAGATGGGCCAAGTACTTGGGCCCCTGTGCCTACATGAGAGACTAGGATAAAGTGCCTGGCTCCTGGCTTTGACCTGGTCCAGCCTTGGCTGTTGCAGCCATTTGGGGAGTGAACCAGCATGGAAGGTATCTGTCTCTATCCTCCTCTCTCTGTAACTCTGCCTTTCACAAATATAAACAAATGGAAGGAAGGAAGGAAGGGAGGGAGGGAGGGAGGGAGGGAGGGAGGGAGGGAGGGAGGGAGGGAAGGATGAAGAGAGGATGGAGGGAGGATGAAGGGAGGATGAAGGGAGGGAGGGGAAGAAGGCACTCTGGGGAAAGACAGACAATGAGAGAGAAAAAACAGAGCAGTCCTCAGTTCCACTTAAAATATGCTTAGGGCAACAAGGAATAAAAATGGGGAAATTTAGTTTTAAAAATACTTAAAGGAGGGAGTGCAGAATTAATTGACTTTAGACCAGCCCAGCTCTGACCATTGTGGCCATCTGGAGAGTGAACCAGTGGATGGAAGACCTCTCTGCCTCTCCCTCTCCCTCTGTCTCTCTGCTCTCTGTAACTCTGCCATTTAAGCAAATAAATAAATCTTTAAAAAAATGAAAGTTTGTCTTTCCTTGGGCTGGCAAATTATCTTTCTGAAACACCTGCTTCATCTAACAAACTTAGCAACAAAAGCACCACTGAGCCACAAACACTGCTGATAGCCACGGAATCTGAAGCTTTTATAACCAGACCAAATAAATGCAGGGAGAGTACAAAGGGGAGCAGCAGCGAAGCAGCCAGGTCACAGAAAGACAATCTGATGTGTAAGTAAAAAAAGCACTGGCTAGGCTCTGGAAATGTCCAGCTCTGTTTAGGAAGAGATGGCAATCTGAGGAGGGGGCGTAATAAAAGACTAAGGATCCACCTCCCTTCTCCCTCTTGGGTAACAAACTACTTTTTTTTTTTTTTTTAAGCTGTGGAAACTCCATAAGCCTCTGTCCTCTCATTAAATTCATGAGCTCCCAAGTACAGACTCCATTATGTTTGTTTCACGATACTTTCAACCATGCTTTATTCAGAAATATGTGCATGTGCGGACACAAACACACACACACACACACACACACCGCCGTGTTAACCAAAGAGCTGAAAGCTTTCTTTCAGATGCTTCACTCACTTTCTTGACAGATCTGTGGGAATGCGACACCAAAACATGGAAACATCACAAGGACTAACCCTGCAATTACACACCATCTTTTGGTGGTGATACTGTTTTTTTCTGCCCTGTAGGTCCGCTATCAACTGATATCCTATGGATATCATAAATTCAAAGGATCATTTCATCCATGTGTCCTTTTCTCCTTTTCAAGATCTTTAGGAAATTTCTTCACAATATCTAATGGAATGGTTCTAACAGCCTCCCTCAGCCCTGTTAGGGCTCTTTTCCCTAAATTGTGTGAAGTACCTAGGAGGCAGAGACTTGTAAAGAGATCTGTCACTGAAGGGGCCGGGCCAGGCCAGCCCAGGAAGGACTGGCTAGGGGAAAGAGGTATGTTTGCTCATTTACACATTCAGGCAAACTGTTCAGGAACAAACACGCTCACCAGCATATCATGCCCAGAGTTAAGAAAGGAATTTTGGGGGCTGGTGTTGTGGTGCAGCAGGTAAAGCCGTAGCCTACAGTACCAGCATCCCATATGGGTCCTGGTCCAAGTCTCAGCTACTCCACTTCCAATCCAGCTCCCTGCTAAGGTTCCTGGGAAAGCAACAGAAGGTGGCCCTATCCTTGGGCCCCTGCCTCCATGTGGGAGACCTGGAAGAAGCTCCTGGCTCCTGGCTTTGGCCTGGCCTGGCCCAGCCATTGCAGCCATCTGGGGAGTGAACCAGCAGAACCAGAAGCTCTCTGTCTCTACCTCTCTCTGTAACTCTTTCAAATAAAACAAAACAAAAAAAAGTAGAGTGGTGGAGGATCAAGGACTCTCTTAGAACATGTGTCATCACACCCCACAGTCAAAACAGAGAAATTCAGTGATAAGCAGACTGCCAGATAGGAAGAGCTGGGATGATAGAGCCAGGACATCAAAACCAACAAGAGAGAGTAGATGACAACAGAAAAACAGAAGGTCTTTGGAGAAAAAGAACATGGGGGGCCGGCACTATGGCGTAGCAGGTAAAACTGCTGCCTGCAGTGCCGGCATCCTATATGGGCACCGGTTCGAGACCCAGTTGCTCTACTTTGACCCAGCTCTCTGCTAAGACCTGGCAAAGCAGCAGAAGACGGTCCAAGTTCTTGGGCCCCTACACCCTCATGGGAGACCCAGAAGCTCCTGGCTCCTGGCTTCGGATCGGTGCAACTCCAGCTGTTGCGACCAACTGGGGAGCAAACCAGTGGATGGAAGACCTCTCTCTCTGCCTCTCCTTCTCTCTCTGTGTAACTCTTTCAAATAAATAAATAAATCTTAAGAGAGAGAGAGAGAGAGAGAGAACATGGCAGGCATGACAGAAACAAACAAGGGAACTACAGAAGATAGAAATGGTAACCACCCAAGTAGAGCCTAGAAAACAAAGTCCACCTCAACATCTATCAGTGATGGCACTACACTCTGTGGGCTGTAACTGGTAGTGCAATAAACACTTCCACAATTCTGAAATGCTTACTAACATCCAGAAAGGCAAATAAAATTTTTGAAGAACAGAATACTGATAGCTAGACATGATTTGCACCCTCTAAGCTGAGGTTGGCAAACTTTGGGGCCTGGCATTGTGGCTCAGGTCAGGCCAGCACCTGCAATGCCAGCATCCTATATCAGAGTGCTGGTTAGTCCTGGCTACTCTGCTTCTGATCCAGCTTCCTGCTAATAAACCTGGGAGGGCAGCAGAAGACAGCCCAAATACTTGGGCCCCTGCCACGCATGTTGGGAGACTAGGATGGAGCTCCTGGCTCCTGGTTTTGGCCTAGCCCAGACCTGGCTGTTGCAGTCATTGGGGGAATAAGCCAGCAGATGGAAGATCTTTCTCTGTCCCTCTGCCTTTCAAATAAATATTTTGAACAGAGCTACATCCACTCATTAATCTACAGTACTGTGGATGGCTACTTTCACCCTACAGTGGCAGCGTAGAGCAGGCTGCAGACAGACCACAGGACCTACAACTATTTAATATCTGGCCTTTGCAGAACATTTCCTGACTTGTGCTCTATGCCAAACTAACACCTGCTACATTTAATTGTTCTCACTTAAAAGAACTTCTAAGCCAAACACTTCTCTAGGAAATTTTTCTTAAGATGATATTCTAGGGGCAAACACTGTTGCTCCATGGATTAAGATGCCACTTGGGACACCTGCATTCCATATCGGAGCGCACGTTCAAGTCCTGGCTCCTCCACTTGCTATCTAGCTTCCTGCTGATGCACACCCCAGAAAGCAGGAGAAAGTGATTCAAGTTCCTGGGTTTCTTACACCCATGTGGAAGGTCCATGTGGCTCCAGCCTTAGTAGTTGCAGACGTTAGGGAGTGAACCAGTGGATGGAAGATCATTCACCGGCTCTCCCTCCTCCTCCCGGGAGACCTGGATGGAATTCTAGGCTCCTGGCTTCAACCTGGCACAGCCTGGCAGTTGCAGCCACTGGGGGAGTAAATCAGCAGACTGAGGATCTCTCTTGCTCTCTCTCCTCATCTCCCTCTCTGTAACCCTTTCTTTTTTTTATTTTTTTATTTTATTTTATTTTTTTTTTTGACAGGCAGAGTAGACAGTGAGAGAGAGAGACAGAGAGAAAGGTCTTCCTTTGCTGTTGGTTCACCCTTCAATGGCCGCAGTGGCCGGCGCTCCGCGCTGATCCGAAGCCAAGAGCCAGGTGCTTCTCCTGGTCTCCCATGCGGGTGCAGGGCCCAAGCACTTGGGCCATCCTCCACTGCACTCCCAGGCTGGTCACAGCAGAGAGCTGGCCTGGAAGAGGGGCAACCAGGACAGAATCCGGCGCCCCGACCAGGACTAGAACCCGGGGTGCCGGTGCCGCAGGCGGAGAATTAGCCTAGTGAGCCATGGCGCCGGCCTGTAACCCTATCTTTCAAATAGTCTTTTTAAAAAATTAAAATAAATATTAAAAAAAACATACTACTCTCACAGACTCTGAGGAGCACACATAACATTGGAAGTTAACTGAACCAGAAAAGCCAAAACAGACTTCAGAGATCTTCCCTTCTAATAAAACATCCATCACAGTAGGAGAGATCTCACTGGTCTACAAACTCTTGATTTTCTCAGCTACGACCGGATGGATCCACTGCAGGACAAATCAAAAACCTAGCTTAGTATATTTAGTTTTGGTTCCTTCTCCAGCCTGGAGGAGGCTGCATAACTATCCTAGCTTAAAGACCTAGCCCCAGAATACAGGACTTCATCACCTACTCAGCTCATGTTAGTAAAAATACAAAAGCAGCCCGGCGCTGTGGCACAGTGGGTTAACACCCTGACCTGAGGCGCCGGCATCCCGTAGGTACACCAGTTCAAGCCCTGGCTGCCCCACTTCGGATCCAGCTCTCTGCTATGCCCTGGGAAAGCAGTGGAAAACAGCACAAGTTCTTGGGCCCCTGTACCCACGTGGGAGACCCAGAAGAAGCTCCTGGCTTCAGATCCGCACAGCTCCAGCCGGTGCAGCCAACTGGGGAGTGAACCATCGGATGGAAGACCTCTCTCTCTGCCTCTCTTCTCTCTGTGTAACCCTGACTTTCAAATAAATAGATAAATCTTAAAAAAAAAATAAAAATACAAAAGCAAATGTATAAAGTACATTGTTGATCATAAGTAACATGACTCAGGAAAAATATCCCTAATTCAAATGTTTAAAACCATGAAAAAAAATAAAAAAGAGAGAAACTACATAGTTTGAGAGCATCCTCCTTGATACCGCTTCACACCTTCAGGACACTGCCTCATAATTACACAGGAAAACCCACCGGGGCACTTAACCCTGAAGCTACCAAACCCAACCATTCCTATTTGTCAAAACCTCTCCGTCCAACACATGGCAAGCCTGACACCAAGAAGCAGCACCGCAATTAACAAGTTGTCGAGTCATGGCCTCCCCTGAGTGACAGTGGCGAGTTCCAAGCTCGCGATAACGTTAGGTAGACCCTGGTGGGCCCGCGGCTACAATGACCCAGTCAGCACTTGTGCAGGCAGCTGCTCCAGCGAGCCTTGGCTAGAAAAACTGAGACTGGCTTTCAGGCCCAGGCCCAGCCCTGAACGAACGACACGCCGCGACCAGGACTGCATGCAGGACCAGGCCAGCCCCCCGCCCTCCCCGAGACCTCCGCGTGGTGCGAGACAACCTCGCGACCTAAGATCCTCCGTGCAGAGGGACAAAACCACGCAGGAGCGCACCCACGGGCGGGGCAGGGGAAGCCGGGATGCGGGAGAGAAGGAATACATTCCTGGGGGTAAAGGATCTCACACACAGCAGAAACGCACACGGAGGCCAACGTCAAAATACACGGTCGTGAGTGGGGAAACCGGCGGCTTCGGCCCCACAAACAGCACGCGCCCCCGGGGGCTCTCCCAGGAGTGGCCGTTACTAAACTCCGCGGGCCGTCTCCAACCTAAACCCCGGGCGCCGCTCCCGCCCAGGCCGGGGGGCCGAGGGCAGCGCGGGCGAGAAATGCAAACTCATCCGCGCCGTGACCTTAACGCAGCGGAGCCGTCCCCTCGCGGCGCCAGGCACCGCGAGCCCCTCTCGAGCGCGCCCCGCCACGCCCTCCCGCGAGGGCGGCCCCCAAACTTTGCTCAGAAGGGGACACTGAGGCACGGATCATGTACACAGGCCGGCCGAAGGAACCCCGCACAAGCCCTCCTCCCCCAGGCCCGGGAAGCCCCGAAGCCGTGGGCGGGGCTGGGGTCCGCGAGCGCCAGGGGGCGGCCGGGAAGCGGGTCCAGACGTTCCGGCTCGACCTCCCCTCCCCCCCTGCGCCGCCTCGCCGGGGCCGCCGCCCGGTACCTCTCGATGACTGAGGCCACCAGCTGCGGCAACTCCTTCATCTCGAAGGCGGAATAGGACGCGGACAGCAGGGGCCGCACCGCCACCTCCCAGCCCGGGGTCGCGTCCGCCCCCGCTGCCGGGGCCCCCGGCGCCGGCGCCGCTGCCGCCGCCTCATCGCCGCCGCTCGTCGCCATCTTCCGTCGTACTACTGCGGCTCCCTCCGGGGGCTTGCCACCGGCCCAGCACCGCCTCCCGGGAGGGAGCGGAAGTGACGCAATCGAACGCGTCAGACGGCGCGCCGCAGTCGCCGACCAAACAACATGACGCTGGAGAAGCTCTGGGCTGTCGCCGCCGAGAGAGTGGCGCGGGCTAGAGGGCGGGCAGAGGCGTTGCGCCTGCGCAGAATGTAGTCCAGTGGGGAGGGGGGAAGAGCGTTAACCTCCGCGCCTGCGCAGTGGCAGTCGCTCGGGCAGGCGGGAGCAAAGTGGCTTCCGGGTGTTGGGAAAGGTGAGTTTGGGAGTTGGATTTGCTGAGCAAGAGTGGGACGGCAGGATCCGCTAATGGCCCCGGCCTGGGACCGCTAAGGACGAGAAGCGGAGGTGTAGTCCCAACCAGGCAGTCCAGGAGCGTTGCTCATCTACCAAGCTCTCCTCGCGCCACTTCGGTCATTTTCATCACTGAATGTTCACGCCCAGACCGCCTCTGCGTGGTCCGCAGCTCGTGCCGAGGTCAGCGTACCTGCTGACTGCGGCCGCGGCGGCCCTCCCGCCCCGCGTCTGGCCCGCGCTGTGGACACCTTTACCGCCGAAGCCCCCGCCTCCCCCCACCCCCGATTCCCCCCCGACCGGAGGCTTTTACGAAAAATGACGGGGTGCAGGACCCGAGGGCGACGGGCAGTGTGGCCGCCGACAGGACAGCGCCGGTGGCGGTGCGCCCCCGGGGGACAGCTCCCCGCGACGTGGGCGCCCCTAAGTCCAGGGTGCGAGCGCTTGTTCCCAGCTGCAGCGTGGCACGTGATGACTAACGCGCCTTCTCCCGAGAAAGGACCTGTTTTACGTTAGAAACAAAGTTCAGTCTTGGAGGAAATCGTGGCTTCAGTAATAACAGTTGGGATCTTCCTTCAGAACAGAAATTTTCTTTTTAAAAAAAATTTATTTAGGGGCCGGAGCTGTGGCGGAAGGGGTAAAGCCACCACCTGCAGCGCCGGAATCCCATATGGGCGCTGGTTCAAGTCCCGGCTGCTCCACTTCTGACCCAGCTCTCTGCTGTGGCCTGGGAAAGCAGTGGAAGATGGCCCAAGTCCTTGGGCCCCTGCACCCGCGTGGGAGACTCGTAAGAAGCTCCTGGCTCAGCCCCGGCGGTTGCAGCCATCTGGGGCGTGAACCAGCGGATGGAAGACCCCTCTCTCTCTCTCTCTCTGCCTCTCTGTACCTCTGCCTTTCAAGTAAACCAATAAAATCGTAAAAACTTTTTTATTTACTTGAAAGTCAGAGTTACAGAGAGGGTCCACTGCTGGTGCACTCCCCAGATGGCTGTAACAGCCCTGGGCGCCGGCAGCACAGGCAGCACGGCCTTGTCCGCTCTGTAACAACGCCAGCCCCACAAAGTTTCTTGAACGTACCAACATGAAAGCAAAAGGAAAAAAGAACTTTCCACAACAATAAATATTACTTTATTTCTTTAAAAAAAAAAAGATTTATTTATTTAGAGAGAGAAGGAGAGGCAGAGAGAGAGAAGTCTTCCATCTGCTGGTTCACTCCCCAATTGGCTGCAACAGCCAGATCTGGGCCAGGAGCTTCTTCCGGGTCTCCCACCTGGTGTAGGGGCCCAAGGACTTGGGCCATCTTCTTCTGCTTTCCCAGGTGCATTAGCAGAGAGCTGGATGGGAAGTGGAGCAGCCGGTACTTGAACTGGTGCCCATTTGGGATGCCAGCACTGCAGGCATCGGCTTTACCTGCTACGCCACAGTGCTGACCCCTGCTTTATTTCAAGATACTGAACCAGGGCCCTAAGGAAAAGCTGGATACCAAGAATTTTATAGTAACTTTGGTACGTTAATTTTATATTAACCGAAGAACAATCTACAAACGTTCCTTTGAAAAGGTTGCAGGAAATAAAAGATCAAATATTCCCATTCCTCTCTATCTCCCTCCATCTTCCATAGCTAAGAGAGAAAGAACAGGACGGGCGTGTGGTCCAGCTGATTAAGCTGCCGCCTGCCAGGCCCTCATCCCATATCCTGGCTGCTCGGCTTCCAATCCAGCTCCCTGCTAATGCACCTGGGAAAGCAGCAGCAGATGGTCCAAGTACTGGGTCCCTGACACCCACGTGGGAGACCCAGATGGAGTTCCTAGCTCCTGGCTTCAGCCTGCCCAGCCCCTGCCATTGTGGCCATCTTGGGAATGAAGCAGCACATGGAAGATCTCTTTCTCTCTGTTTCTCCCTCCCATTCTCGGTGTCCCTCTGCCTTTCAAATAAATGTTTTAAAAAATGAAAAGAAAGGGCCGGCGCCGCGGCTCACTAGGCTAATCCTCCGCCTTGCGGCGCCGGCACACCGGGTTCTAGTCCCGGTCGGGGCGCCGGATTCTGTCCCGGTTGCCCCTCTTCCAGGCCAGCCCTCTGCTGTGGCCCGGGAGTGCAGTGGAGGATGGCCCAGGTGCTTGGGCCCTGCACCCCATGGGAGACCAGGAGAAGCACCTGGCTCCTGGCTCCTGCCATCGGATCAGCGCGGTGCACCGGTCGCATCGCGCTGGCCGCGGCGGCCATTGGAGGGTGAACCAACGGCAAAGGAAGACCTTTCTCTCTGTCTCTCTCTCTCTCACTGTCCACTCTGCCTGTCAAAAAATAAATAAATAAATAAAAATAAAAAATAAAAAAAAAATTTTTAAAAAAAAAAACAAACAAAAAATAATGAAAGAAAGAATAAAAGTCAAGTGCAAACTATCAAAAGGAGATCTGTACCTACATTTTATATTTTTGATGCTTCTGGCTCATTCCAGATACAAGAAGGCACTCCAGATCTCCCTTTGTGGGCTGGTATTGCAGTGCAGCAGGTGAAGCCAACACCCGCAATGCTGGCACCCCATATGGATGCCAGTTCAAGTCCCGGCTACTCTACTTTTGGGAAAGCAATGGACAATGGCCTAAGTTCCTGGCTTCTAACTTTGGCTTGGCCCATGTGAGGAATGAACCAGCAGATGGACACTCTCTCTAATTCCACCTTTCAAATAACTAAAAATAAAGCTTAAAAAAAATCTCCCTTTACACCATTCCAACATGGAAGTTTTCTCTTATGTTGCCACAAAGATTTAAAATGGCATCCACGTTCTAAGTTTAGATGACAGACTGAAAAAAAGGCTTCTAGATGAAACAGAAGCTTCTGATATTCTGGTCAAGAAAATAAGATAAAAACTACAGACTGGGGTGGGCATTTGGCCTGGCATTTAGGACATCTGGCCCCATAACACAGTCCCTGGGTTTAGTTCTCAGCTTTGGCTTCTGACTCAGTTTGCCAGTGCAGACCCTAGGAGGCAGTGATGATGGCTCAAATAATGGGGTTGCCATATTTAAAAAAAAAAAAATTCTGTTTCAGAAAAAAATTCCATCTGATACAGAGTTGTCTGAAACAAATTCTAATAGCTACAGTGTTTTCAGAAACAATCAGATGAATAAACCATTAGTTCCCAGGGGCAAGAGATGTCAATCTGCTCAAACTTTTACAAAGTTCCAAAAGTGAGTCATCAGGGTGTGAGGTTGTTAGGCCGACCGCCTGCACCCCGTATGGGCGCTTACTCAAATCCCAGCTTCTCCACTTCTGGTCCAGCTCCTGGCTAATGCGCCTGGGAAAGTGCAGTAATGACTCAAGCACTGGGCCCCTACCACACGTGTAGGAAACCTGGAAGGAGTTCCTGGCTCTTGACTTCAGTGGCGCAGACCTGGCTACTGCAGGAATTTGAGGAGTGGATGGAAGAGCTCTCCCCCCCCCCTTCCAAATAAATAAATATTTAGAAAAATAAAATATCAGGGGTTAGTGCTATGGTATAGTAGGTTAAACATCTGCCTGCAGTGTCGTCATCCCATATGCACACTGGTTTGAGTCCCAGCTGCTCTACTTCCAAGACAGCTCCCTGCTGATGACCTGGGAAAGCCGTGGAGGATGGCCCGAGTGCTTGGGCCCCCGCACCTGTGTGGGAGACCTGGAAGAAGCTCCTGGCTCCTGGCTTCAGACTGGTCAGCTCCAGCTGTTGTAGCCATTTGGGGAGTGAACCAGCGGATGGAAGACCTTTCTGTCTCTCCCTCTCTAACTGTGCCTCACAAATAAATAAATCTTAAAAAGACAAAAAAAAAAAAAAAAAAGGAAATGTCAGTTTTCATTCCTCAGCTCTACTACTCCTATCTCCTAGGGCTTACACTCTCAGGAATGTTGGACCCACTGGATTGAGAGAAAATGGACATGGGGAAAGAAGCAGCCAATGTGTAAAATGTTCACCACAGAGGACCCTGGGAGGAGTGCACCTGGGAATTCTTTCTACTATTCTTACAGCTTTTCCTTAGGTTTGAAATTGTGTCAGAATAAAAAGTTTTTTGTTTTTTGTTTTTTGTTTTTTTTTTTTTTTTTGACAGGCAGAGTGGACAGTGAGAGAGAGAGACAGAGAGAGAAAGGTCTTCCTTTGCCGTTGGTTCACCCTCCAATGGCCGCCGCTGCAGCCGGCGCACCGCGCTGATCCTGGCAGGAGCCAGGAGCCAGGTGCTTTTCCTGGTCTCCCATGGGGTGCAGGGCCCAAGCACCTGGGCCATCCTCCACTGCACTCCCTGGCCATAGCAGAGAGCTGGCCTGGAAGAGGGGCAACCGGGACAGAATCCGGCGCCCCAACCGGGACTAGAACCCGGTGTGCCGGCGCCGCAAGGTGGAGGATTAGCCTATTGAGCCACGGCGCCGGCTAGAATAAAAAGTTTTAAAAACAACAGTTTAGGAGCAGGCGCTATGGTGCAGCAGGTAAAACCACCGCCTGCAGTGCCAGCATCCCATCAGGGCACTGGTTGGAGTCCTCTTCCAATCCAGCTCTCTGCTGCGGCCTGAAAAAGCAGTGGAAGATGGCCCAAGTGCTTGGGCCCCTGCACCCAAGTGGGAGACCCAGAAGAAACTCCTGGCTTCTGGCTTCGTATCAGCGCAGCTCCAGCCATTACAGCCATCTGGGGAGTGAACCAGTGGATGGAGACCTCACTCTCTGTCTCTACCTCTCTCTGTAACTCTGTCTTTCAAATAAATAAAATAAATCTTAAAAAAAAAAGTCAGTCTCAACTGACATCACATTTCTTTTTTTTAAATTTTTTTTATTTATTTACTTTCATTTCATTTGAAAGGCAGAGAGACAGATCTTCCATCTGCTGGTTCACTCCCAAAATGCCAAAAGCCAGGCTGGGCCAGTCCAAAGCCAGGAGTCTAGAACAAAATCCAGGTTTCCCATGTGGATGGCAGGGACCTAACCACTTGAGCTACCTCCCAGAGGGTATGCATTAGCAGGAAGATGGATCAGACAGATGTGGAGTAGCTAGAACTCAAAATCAGGCACTCCAGTGTGGGATGCAGGCATCCCAGGTGGAGCCAACACTGTTCCAAATGTCTGCTCGGGACATCACATTCTTAACTAGTGAAAAAAATGCTAGGGCAAGTGTGTACACATTTTTGATGTTATAAATTCTCACTGGAGAGAAGGCCTTGGTGCAGCAGGCTAAGCCGCCACCTATGAAGGCTGCATCCTGTATGGGCACTGGTTCGAGTCCCAGCTGCTCCGCTTCTGAGCCAGCTCCCTGCTAATGTGCCTGGGATAGCAGCAGAAGATGGCCCAAGTTGTTGGGCCCCTGCACCCACGTGGGAGACCTGTAAGAAGCTCCTGGCTTCAGCATGGCCCAGCCCTGGACATTGCAGCCATTTGGAGAGTAACTCAGCAGATGGAAGATCTACCTTTCCCCACCCCGCCCCGCCCCGTACCTCTGCCTTTCAAATAAATAAAATAAATCTTTAAAATAAACAAAAGGCCGGCGGCGGCGTGGCTCACTAGGCTAATCCTCCGCCTTGCAGCACCGGCACACCGAGTTCTAGTCCCGGTCAGGGCGCCGGATTCTGTCCTGGTTGCCCCTCTTCCAGGCCAGCTCTCTGCTGTGGCCAGGGAGTGCAGTGGAGGATGGCCCAGGTGCTTGGGCCCTGCACCCCATGGGAGACCAGGAGAAGCACCTGGCTCCTGCCATCAGATCAGCATGGTGCGCCGGCCGCAGCACGCTGGCTGCGGCGGCCATTGGAGGGTGAACCAACGGCAAAGAAAGACCTTTCTCTCTGTCTCTCTCACTGTCCACTCTGCCTGTCAAAAAATAATAAATAAATAAATAAACAAACAAACAAACAAAAAAGTAACTGGGTTCCTGCCACCCAGTGAGAGACCTGGACTATTCCCAGGTCTGGCTGACCAGCGCGCTGGAGCATGTGCACACTCTCTACCTGGCAAATAAATAAGATAAAAATAAAAAACTGATTCCAACCTTGTGAGCATTGCAATGGCGAGGGAGATGCATGCTGCTGATATGCGAGTGCCCTGTGCTATGTAAGCGAGAAAATCGAGAGAGAGAAGTAACAAACTGCTCAGTGGTGACCTCTGGGAAGCAGAGTGGGGGAGAGATCTTGGAAGGGAGAGTAACCTTCATTTTCTGGCATCATTTATAATATTTTAAGATTTATTTTATTCATTTGAAAGGCAGAGATAGAGAGAAGGAGAGAAAGAATCTTCCATCTGCTGGCTCAATCCCCAAATGGTCGCAATAGCCAGGACTGGGCCAGCCCTAAGCCAGGAACCTGGATCTTCCTCAGGGTCTCCCAAGTGGGTGGCAGGGGTCCAAGTACTCAGGCCATCTTCTGCTGCTTTTCCAAGAGCATTAGCAAGAATCAGAAGTGGAGCACGGGGCAGTGTTCCTTTCTGTCTCTCCTCTCTCTCTCTGTAACTCTGCCTCTCAAATAAATATTCTTTTAGAAAAAATTAAAGAAAAAAATTAATCCTTAGTTATCTTAAAAAATAATAAAAGAAGTAGAGCAGAGAAAGCTGCCGCCTGCGACACCAGCATCCATACGGGCACTGGTTAGAGACCTGGCAGCTCCACTTCCTATCCAGCTCCCTACTGAGCACCTGAGAAGGCAGCAGAAGATGGTCTAAGTGCTTGGGTCCCTGCACCCACATGGGAGACCCAGAAAAGGCTCCTGGCTTCGGCCTGGCCCAGTCCTGGCAGTTGCAGCCATTTGGGAAGTGAACTAGCAGATGGAAGTCTGTCTCTCTCTCTCCTTCCCTCTCTCCTCTGTAACTCTGCCTTTCAAATAAATAAATAAATGTTTTTTTCCTTTTCTGACAGGCAGAGTGGACAGTGAGAGAGAGAGAGAGACAGAGAGAAAGGTCTTCCTTTTGCCATTGGTTCACCCTCCAATGGCTGCCGCGGCCAGCGCACTGCACTGATCCGAAGCCAGGAGCCAGGTGCTTCCCCTGGTCTCCCATGGGGTGCAGGGCCCAAGCACTTGGGCCATCCTCCACTGCACTCCCGGGACACAGCAGAGCTGGCCTGGAAGAGGGGCAACCGGATAAATAAATAAATCTTAAAAAAAAAAAAAAGTAATAAGCAGAACAGGCAAGACTTGCACCAGTCATCCTATGGGATGTCAGCATTACACTTAGTGGCTTAACCCCCTGTGCTACAACATCAGCCTCAATGCTATGATTTTTAAGAGGGTGGGTGGGACATGACACACTACTGTTTTAAACACACACACACACACACACATACACACACTGATCCCATCAATTACAAATGGGTCTCTGGGGCAGACATTGTGGGGCAGCAGTTACACCGCCACTTGGAGGTCCTGTATCCATAGCAGAGTGCCAGTTTGAGTCCTGAATACTCCATACTTACAACCCAGCTTCCTGGAAGGCACAAGAATGATGGCCCAAGTGCTTGGGGTCCTACTACCCATGTAGGAGACCCGGATGGATCCTGCTCTTGGCTTTGAGCTGCGCAACTCTAGCTGTTTGGGGAGTGAACCACCACATGGAAGATCTCTTTCTCTCTGACTCTCCCTCTTAGTCACTCTGCCTTTCAAACAAGTAAGGCTTAAAAGGGGAGGGGCATTGCCTTTCCTGAATCTCCTGTTGTAACTGGAATTCTATATTTAATTCAAGAACAACCCCAACGATTAATTCTCATTTCAAGTCAAAGGCTAAGGAAACCACCAACAAAAGCCACTGTCACCTCCCACTCCATTCCCAATGGAGAATAGAATCTATAAACTAAGTGTTGTTTAGTTTCTCACTCAAAGACATTGTATGTTGACCAAATTAATAAAAAAGGGCCCAGAAAATACTGAGGATCACCCATTGTAGGGGGCTCCCAATTGACACAAATAATGAAGAAAGGGAAGAGATGGTTTGAGGGTTATGCGCAGGCACAGAGGAGGGAAAGAAAGCAAATGGAGGAGAGAACCAAAAGAGGAAGCCATGGGCAGAGGCTGAGGGTTCTTGGTCAGACAGATGCAGCTTGAATTTGAAGGAGGGTTGAGAAGCAAGAAGACTGACTTGTCCGCGGCTTGAGCTATCTTAAGCACCTCGTCCAAGGTTACTTTCCACTAAGTGGTAATGATTAAAGCTGAAACACAGGGATTTTATAAGAGACAGCGAGACCACATGATCTAGCTGCCTTGTATTTTTCTCTACACTGTCAAAATCCCAGCCAAGCCTCAACATTATGGCAGAATTTTAACTTGTACTTATTCTGTTTTCTCAATGTCACTTTAAATAAAATATGCCTTGCGTCAGGATGAAAAATGCCTGTTTTCTGCTGGAGATGCTTATCATCCACTCATTGTTATTTACCTGACAACTCACTCTATAGTACTGAAGTAACAGGATTGCCATTGTTCTTCCTCGTCAGCCATGATCCACCATCAGCACACAAACACAGGAAGAGGAAAATTTCATTTGAAATTAACCTACACCAACTTGCATATGATTAAACTGGCATGTTTCCTTACTAGAACACTCACTCCACTTCTGCACTGCTTTTATCCCTTCTGATGCAAAGGTAGCTCCGAGTGATCTTCCTAAGACACAAAAAAGGACTTAGATCAGTGTCACTCCCCATTCGCTTTATTCAGACACTTGAGTGAACCTCTCTCCCTACAGGTAGAGGGGGTCTACTCTCTGTACATTTGTACATTTCATTCTTCACAGTACAGATAAGCCCATCACTCCCCACATCCACAAACAAGAGAGAACTTTCAGGGTTCCTCTCATCTGTAGCAGAGACACAGCAGCCCAGCCATCAGCAATGCCCCACCCACAGTGCGCCTGCTTCCGACTCCGCCCTTTCAAGCTTCAAACATCAGACCAGTAAGATGTAAAATGTGCTTTCTTTAAGACAAATAAAATGACCCACATGTTAATTTACATCTGAAACTAAGAATAAATAAAGGGATCCCTAAAGAAGGTTCTCTAGTTATGACGAGACTGGTCTGTGGGTGAGATGAGACTAGGAGATACCAGGGAAAGGATAGATCATCTCTCCTCTACGGAAACCTCTTCGAGGTGCAGACAATTCGTAGCTTTAAATCAGCCGGCTCTCACACATCTCTGGTGATGAGCACAGCCAATGCCCAACCGAGATAGGATTCTGTACCTGGCTCTGATGAACTGAAACAAAATCTGGGGCAGCTGAACCTCACAGATGACAGCATGAAACCAGACGCTCAGTTAAAGTGAGTTTTGATCCCAAACGTGGATTCCTCAAGCCAAGGGTACTTTGGAGAGATGCACTGAGGGACTGGACCAGTTCCCAAACCCAGCTAAGGACAGATCCTGTCTCCCCAGGGTAGAACAGCAAATGCACCCGTGCGGTGGAGCTGTCAGAGAGCTCTGACACTGAGGCAGGAGACAGAGGCAAATAAAGAAGACCTTGTAGAGAAAACATAAGCACAAAAGGCAAACTCAACATAGTTTCACAGAAGAGAAGCATCAGTTGGAGGTCTTATCTTCAAACACCAGAACATACACGGATGGGCAAGGCAAGAGCGGCAGCTTTTGGATTCAGGAGCAGGGCCGTTAGCTCTGAGACCCGCAGCTGAGGCTGAGTTCGGTGTCTGTTCACAGGTGTCTGCATCATGTGTGTCCCAGAATGAGCTCTGGGTGAAGGTCCAGCTTCCTCCCCACAGCACCTGACACTCGGGGCCAAACTGCAGCCGCAGCTCCTTAGCTGACCCCCCGCTGGCACGGGACACCAGGTCTTCACCGCCAGGCACGATTGAGGAGCTTCACCTGTGCCAGTCTCTTGGTGATCATGGTGGCAAACACCAAGCCAAAGAGGACACTGCTGATCAACACATAGTCATAGTCATCCTTCAGGACATCAAACTGCTTGGATGGGTAGACTCGAGTTTGGTAAATGTCCAGCCCATAGGCCACGACCTGCAAGGCAGACAGAAGGGGGTTTATGGAGGAAAGGCAGCCCACGACCCACAGCCCAACCTCCAGCCAGAGAAGACAGGGGATGCTCAGCGAGAGCTGCGTCACACGGTGACTGCGGGCTCCACTCACCAAGCAAGTGGACTCCAGGCCCGAGGGAGCCGTGTAGATACCACGCATTCGAGAAACTGTCTGGTTATAGTTGATGAATCGCTCTGCGTGGATCTGTACATCTGGAGAATATGGGATTAGGTTCTCCTCTCTGCAAAATATGGGCAGGACAGGAACTGTGAAAACTGATGGAAAGGGACCGCTGATTCCCTTGCCAGCTCTTGGGAAGCTGCCAGGCCACTATCCACCCTCAGATCTCCTTCAAGGTCTTCTTGCATTAGGTAGTTAAAAATGCAGCGGCCGGATGTTAGGAAGGACTGCAAGAAAGCACGCCGTCCTGGGAGTAAGACTGAGATCTGAATTCATACCGTGTCCTAAATCTGAAAAGACACAACCGCGGTGACTGGCATTTCACAGCCGAGGGGAACGTCAGGGCCATCTCACACCAACACACAGCACCCTGGGCCCAACGCTGCTCCTCACTCCTCACTCAGGCTGCCTCGCAGTCCCTTCTCTGGAAAGCCCGTGACCATCCCAGCATTAAGCTCCTCTGCATTCCCCACGTGCCAAAGACAGATCTGTCTGTCCTCCCCCTGCCGAGCTCTCCACCCCCCGACCTGCAGAGAACTCAGGATGGAGGAGGAAACGTGCATAGTGACTGGAAACACAAAATGGCTGCTAGCGGTGACTAAGCTCCCGGCTTCCCCACACGATGTGGCAGGGTACCTCTGTGACTTCATTTCCAAGGTCCCCACCCACACTGCTCCAGCTGCACGGGCCTCCTGTGCGCGCCCTCCGGGAACTCAGAGGGCAGGCTGTCAGGGCCCCTGGGCCGCTGCTCCCTCTGCCTGGACAGCCACACAGTTGGCTCCTTCACCTCCTTCAGGTCTTTGCTCCCAAGTCACATTTTCACAAGGGCTTTTCCAGGCCTCCTGATCTCAATGTTAATCATACACACTCCCCACCCCAACCACAGCCTTCACAGCCTGTCCCTGTTCTGTTTTTCCTTCTCTGCATTTACGAGTACCTAACGTAGCACACACCTCCCACGTTTACCTTATTTATTGTTGACTGACTATTCCTCACACGCTCGGCCCCTAGCGTGGCTTCACAGCACACTAAGGACCCAACACAATCAAAGTTCCTGGCGGCCAGAGCGCTCAGCACTGCCCACAGGGTCTCACCTGCTTTGTTCTGTTGGGATCTCGGGACGGCGGGGATCCAGCAAGGCCTTAGGGAGGGAAAGAATGGCTCCAGAAGGCAGCCCAACTGCACAGAAAGAAATCAACATTCACGGTGATCCATCACACATGAGGCCCCGTTACAACAATGCCACCATCACAGAAGTTTCAAACAACAACAACAGTGAGTCAAGGAGGCCTCCCAGACCCCAGAACAGCCAACTAATAAGACACATGAGTCCTTTGAAGATACTAGTTCTTAACTTAGCATGCTGAGACATGGGAAAAGAAATGTCCGGAATCAAGATATGGGTAACAGGGAAAGAGAAGAACGTGGAGAGCCACTTCGTCCCTCTCTCCCTTCCCCCCAGCACCCCACCACAGGAATGACTTTCCCACTAAGCACAGGTGGTGTGCAAGGCTAAGGCAGAGCTGCCAGGCAGGGTGCTGGTTTCAGTAATGGAACCTAAAGCTGAGGCACTGCCAAGAGAGCCGCTTTCTGCATACTGAAGAGTAAGCAGTAACAACACCCTGTGCCTGCCAAAGCTCAGAGTCCCAGATGTTTCTGGCAAAATCACCCAGGCACAGGAGGCTGGTAAACAATCAGAGTCCTGACCTCGGGAGGGGATCTCCCGCGGCCAGTGTGTGCAGCAGACAGCTCAGGGACGTTTTTCTGAGCTAGCTGCAAATACTAAACACAGACGGGCAGCGGTTCATCAGAATGAAGACTACGAGAGAAGTGAGTGTGTTTACAGGTAGCACAGCAGAAAGGAGCAACTTCCTCCACTGAAACACAGCCCTCCTCCCCGACCCCCCCTTACGAGTGGGCGTTCACACAGGGCTCGGCCTGCAAAGCACCCTGTTCTGACTTTCAGCGTGGCTGCCCATGGGAGCCCAATGACCCAGGGGCCTGTCCCAGACACTCACTGAGCAGGTGTCGGCTGGTGATGCCCCGTTCCGTGATGGTGGCTTCCATGGCACTGATGGAGGAGGGGAAGATGTAGGACTGCTGGAGGACCTGGGGCAGCTGGGGACGGTCCAGGGAGCTGAAGGCAGTGGCATTGTACTGCTCGGTTCCCTCATAGAGCTCCAGCGCGGTGAACTCGTTGCGCCGGGCCTTGGTGTTCCAGTACTGATACTGCAGAGACAGGGAGCGGTGGCTCAGGGCTTAGCTGCTGTGTTAACAGGAAAGGGGGAAGTCCACTGGAAGCCACCCCAATTAGTTTCAGATCCAGGAAGGAAAACAAACACTGAGCACCCGAGTTTTCTTCCTTGCCAGCCAGCAAGGTCACTGGTTTTCTATCTAGGGTATCCACAGGCTACCAGGAGACAAAGGAATTCTCAAAATTCTTAAAAGAAGTCAGAACAACAGCTCAGCTTTGAGTGCCAGCCATTGTTCTAAGCAGACTCAGCAGAGAGCTTACAGGACTAGCTTGGGCTATGTGGTCAGGAAACAGAAGAGCTGGGATCGAAAGCAGGCAGTCTGACTCCTGAGTCTCTAACCAGCACCCTACGCTGCCATCCAGGGGCTGAGATCCCACGAAAACCCAAAGCAGCAACTGGGTTTCTGCAAAGGACCTAAGCCACAAGGAGACCTCTCGAGCTGCCTCGTGTCCCCTCGGCGACTCCTTACCACCACCCAGTTCTCTGAATGCACGATATGGACGGGGCCCTTGGCTTTCTTCTGCACGGAGGAGTGGATGATGCGCCCGGTGACGCCATCAATGAGGAAGATGCCAATGAAGGTGCGCTCATGATGTGCATCCGTGCTCTCTGTCACCACGGCCAGCAGGTTGGGGTTCAGACTCTGGGGAGAGAGGGAACGGCTCCTTCAGAACCACAGTGGGCCATCACACGTTCATTCTGCTGTGAGCCCTGTGCTGTGGGGCCAGCCTGCAGCTCAGCGCCTGGCAGAGGAACTGGGATTTCTGGTAGAAGGGCCTCCCATGTAGGGTTCCGCATCATGGAACTTCATGTCTGCTGGGTACCAGGCAAGCTGCAGTTCATTTACCCCTGAAACAACCTTGCTAAGTAGTGATTATTTCCCACATCTCATAGGTGATGAGAAGAGACACAATCAGAGACAGCAAATAGCAACCAAGATAAACCCATGCCTGTCCTCTCACTGACCTAAGGGCGTTTCCTCCACCAACACCATTCTCAAGGTCACCAGAACCCTCCAACCGCAAAACACAGTGCTGAGCCTACTTGGCCGACCAGGACCAGGTGACCCACATCACTCCCTGTTGAAACACTGGCTCTCCTCCTGCCGACCTGGACTCTCCTGCTTATTTTCCTCTGTAGGATCCTCCACAACTCCCCTGCTTCTTCGTGACAGAACATACCAGGCACACTTAGGCTTCGGCATTTCTGTCTACACAAAGTGTACCCATGGTGCCCTCAGCCAATCTCGTGGCTTCAACACCATTCACAGCTGTGGACAGTGCCCGAATGACACACCACGCAGCCTCACCCCGGAGTGCCAGACTCCCCACAGCAGGTGCTGCCTCAGTGTGTCTGCCTGCGGCCTCAGGGAGAGTCCACACGCTCCAGCTGAACTGCTCTGCCCCGCCAAGACCTGCTCCACAGCAACGTTAGGCTTCCGTGTCTCAGACCTGAAACCTCCGCGTCTTTCTCAAGCCCCTCCCACTGCCACACACCCCTAACTATCCACACACCCTGTCAATAAAACCTCTGGTCTCCATGATCGGATCCCTTGCCCCTCCCTGCTACTGTCCGCCGCCATCTCACCTGGACAGCGCAGTGGCCTGACCGCTCTCCCTGCTTTCCTCACTCGTCTCAGGCCAGTCTGGGCCCAGGGAGCTGGACAGGCCATCCTGCTCAGTGTTTCCCAAAGGCTCTTCCTCTCGCTGCAGGTGCAGGATCAGCCCCGTCACCCTCTGGCCTCAGCGACCCTGACACTCCTCCTCACCCACACAGTCCTCCATGCCGTTTCTCAAATACAGGGCAGCTCAGGCTTTTCTGCGAAAGGCTCTTTCCCCAGGTGGCCTACAACTAAGTCTTCCCTTCAGTGCCACCCCCCCCCTCAGTGAGATGCTCCGTGGCCACCCGCTTTAAAGCTGTGCCCCTTCCTGTCCTGTGCTCCCTTTCCCTCTCCCCGGCTGTGTTTTCCTCTGGGACAGAAGCAGTCGCCTATATAATTTACCTATTTTCTTTATTACTGGGTCCTCCCAAGTACAAGGACAGCCTAATGAGGACAGGGCTTTGTCTGTCTGGTTCACTGCTGTACTTCAGTGTCTAAAAGAACGCCTGGGGACAGGTGGTTGGGCTAGCAGCTGAGAGGCTAGTTAAGACACCCACGTCCCATACCAGAAAGCCTGTTCAATATCCAGCTCTGCTGAAAACCAGCAGCTTCCTGCTAATTCAGACTCTGGGAGACAACGGTGACGACTCAGGTGATTGGTTTCCTGCCATTCACATCGGAGACCCAGATTGAGCTCCTGGCCTCGGCTTCAGCTTGGTCCAGTTCCAATTGTCGCAGGCATGTCAGGAGCGGACCAGCAGATGAGAGCTCTCTGTCTCTCTCAGATAAATAAAACATAAAAATAAAGAGAGTGTCTGGCATCCAGCAGGCACTCAAGTAGTGCTGGCTGCTTCACCTCCGCAGTATTCCTTCCCAAAATTCACCAGCAGGCTAGGTCACCGCCCGCAGTGCCAGCACCCACACTGAAGCACCAGCTCCAGTCCTAGCTACCCTGCTTTCAACCCAGCCTCTTGCTGACGCATCTGAGAAAGCAATGGAAGATGCTTCAAGTACTTGAGTCCCTGCGACCCACATGGGAGACACAGATGGAGTTCTAAGTTCCTGGCTGGCTTCAGTCTGGCCTGGGACCAGCCACTGTGGCCATTTGGGGAATAAACCAGCAGATAGATCTCTCTGTTGTGGCCGGCACTATGGCATCCCATATGGGCGCTGGTTCAAGTCCTGGCTGCACCTCTTCTGATCCAGCTCTCTGCTATGGCCTGGGAAAGCAAAAGATGGCCCAAGTCCTTGGGCCCCTACACCTACTGGGGAGACCTGGAAGAAGCTCCTGGCTCTAAGCTTCGGATGGGCCCAGCTCCGGCCATTGCAGCCATTTGGTGAGTGAACCATTAGACAAAAGACCTTTCTCTCTGTCTCTCCCTGTCTCTGTAACTCTGCCTCTCAAATAAATAAATAAATAAATCTTAAAAAAAAAAAATCTGTCACTCTGACTTTAAAATAAATAAATAAATTTTAAAAAAGAGAAAAAGGGGCTGCCGCTATGGCGTAGTGGGCTAAGCCTCCACCTCTGGCAACAGCATCCCATATGGGCGTCAGTTCATGTCCTTGCTGATCCTCTTCCAATCCAGCTTTCTGCTGTGGCCTGGGAAAGCAGTGGAAGATGGCCCAAGTCTTTGGGCCCCTACACAAACAGGGGAGACCTGGAAGAAGCTCCTGGCTCCTGGCTTCGGATCAGTGCAGCTCCGGGCATTGCGGCCATATCGGGGGTGAAACAGCAGATGGAAGATCTTTCTCTCTGTCCCTCCCTCTCTCTGTCTGTAACTCAACCTCTCAAATAAACAAATGAAATCTTTAAAAAGGAAAAGAAAGAAAGAAAACTGTCAGACCAATCGAAGTTGAGAGACACTCTTCACAGCATCTGACTCCAAAACTGTCAAGGTCATGAAAAACAAGGACCAACTGAGAAAATGTCACAGACCAGGGGGCACTAAGAAAACCTGATGACCCAATGCAGCGTGAGACCCCAGAATGGAAGGGTGACCCCAGTGGAGAAGCGATGAAGCCCGAACAAAGCCCCGCGTGAGTGAACAGCCATGCAGCAATGCTGTCTTCTTAGAAGACAAATGGACCACAGTCCTCTAAGGAAAGCTAGGTGACGGGGCTCCGGGAACCCTATTACTATCTTTGCAGCTTTTCTTTTTTTTGAAAGATTTTATTTATTTATTTGCAAAGTAGAGTTAAAGACAGAGAGGGAGAGACAGACAGAGAAAGGTCTTCCTTTCACTGGTTCACTCCCCAAATGGCTGCAATGGCTGGAGCTGCACCGATCCAAAGCCAGGAGCCAGGAGCTTCTTCCAGGTCCCTTCCATGGGTGCAGGGGCCCAAGGACTCGGGCTATCTTCTACTGCTTTCCCAGGCCATAGCAGAGAGCTGGATGGAAGTGGGGCAGCCAGGACTTGAACCGGAATCTATATGGGATGCCGGAGCTGTAGGCAGAGGCTTAGCCTATTATGCCACAGCGCCGGCCCCTCTCTGCAGCTTTTCTATAAAACTATATCAAAATAAAATGTGATTAACCTAAAATATTTGCCTAACAAACGCGAATCCAACAGTCCTACACCTAGCGAGTACTCTTTTCTGCATCTAAAATGCAAGTATGTTAGTCAGCTTTACCTTGCAAAGACAATTACACAATGGTATGCATTTTTCTAGTATAAGTCAAATGGACTTATACCTTGCTCATTGTGAACGAGTTAAAATTGACTGCTGCCACAGACAAGGCACCGCTCAACACAGAACTCCACTGAACAGCGCTGCCGGGCACTGCCTTCACGCAGGCACCGTTCTAGTCACTGGACATATTATCACCAATCCCCCAGCAGCGCTCTGTGTCAGTGCTGTTCGTCCCACTGTGCTGGTGAAATGAAGTTTGGGCAGCCCCCACGCAATCACCCATGAACAGCTCGTCCCCGCAGAGCCGAGTCAGAACCTGAGAGTCCAACTTGGGGTCTGCACTCGGCGGCACTGCCTCCCGCTTGGTGCAACAGCAAGTGCCCCATGCTGGATCTCCCTCAGGTCCGTCTCTGCTCTGCGGAGGGTGGGCCAGTGGGCTTGATGACCAAGCGAGTCTCTCAGGGAACAGTTTCACCGCCCATTATTCACCTGTCTCCCTCCCTTCTCCACCAACAAGAGTGCTGGGTCACAGAAATGGAGTTTGCAAAGGCTCCAGTAAGGGCCGACCCCAGAACGCTCTGTCAGAACACCCTCCCTCCACCAAGAGGGAGAGCTAACTACCGAGTAGTTACCAGATGCTGGCCACTGCCCTAAGCATGAGTGTCTGAAGTGACCATCACCAAGCTCAGAAGGAAGTACACTGTGTCCATTTCACAGACCATACGCCGAGGCTCAAAGGGACTGAATGACTTGCCCAGGGTCCTATATCCACCAAGTCCTAGCGCCAGAATTCAAAGCCCCTTCACTGACAGCTGCTAGGCTGCACCTTGTAGAGCACACTGCGGTCCCCCATCACGCGGCCCTGGGAGTGGACGTGCTCGCTGCTGCGTTTCCCCTTCACCGTGACGATCCGCTGCACTTCTGGGGGAATGGTCAGCTCCCAGCTCAGCTCCGTGGTGAGATCCTAGAGCAGGGCAAAGCACTCATGGTCAGCGTACACGGGGACTTGACACGGCTGCAGCTCATGTCCCACACTTCAGGATCTGCGGAAGATCCAGCACACAGCAATGCAGATCTGCTCTGGGAGAAAGCTTTATTTTAATTCTCAGTTTGATTAAGGCAGATGGCAAAGCCAGTAAGAAAAGAGAATACTTGATAATAGTCTATCATTTATCTGAGTAGGAACCACACAAGGAACACTGGTCACTTATTAAGAAAATCCAAGAACCTTGCATATGGGGTCAGCAGGCAATTACTAAGATGGCAGGGACCTCAAGATGTTTCCTGAACTGCTCTTCACAGACACAGGAAATCAACACACATTTAGTACTAAATATGTTATCATACATGCATTCTACAGATAAAGATGTGGAGCCCTTGAGAGCAGGGCAGGTGGGTGAGTAGAAAGGGGCCCAGGTGCCTCCCTAGGTGCCTGTGCTATTTCTGATCTGACCACCACACACAAGTGTATCCCTTTTGTCAAGGTTCACTGAGGCATAACCTTGTGATTTTGTACTTTTCTCAATACTGTATTATAATAAAAAATGAGCTGGGGCTGGCACCGCAGCACAGTGGGCCAAGCTGTCACCTGTGATGCTGAGCATCTCCATATGAACATCGGTTCGAGTCCCGGCTGCTCCACTTCAGATTCCTATCCCTGCTAATGCACCTGAGAAAGCAGTGAAAGATGGCCCTCCTATCCATGTGGGAGATCCAGACGGAGCTCCAGGATCCTAGCGTTGGCCTGGACCAGCCCCAGGCATCATGGCCATTAGGGAAGTGAACTAGCAGATGGAAGATCTTTCTTTCTCTGTGTCTCCCTCTCTGAAACTCTGCCTTTCAAAAAATAAATCTTAAAAAAAAAAACAAAAAAAAAAACCTGATGAACAAAAAAATAAGGTAGAAAATATATAACATGAAAAAATTCATAATAATAAATATATTTCAATTCCACTTGAGTAAGAAAAAAATTTGGGGAGTCAGCATTGTAGCACAGTGGGTTAAGCTGCCACCTGTAATGCTAGTATCCCATGTGGGCGCTGGTTCACCACCCAGCTGCTCCACTCTGATCCAGCTCCCTGCTAATGTTGCCTTGGAGAGCAATGGAGGACAGCCCATGTCCTTGTGCCCCCATACCCACAAAGGAGAGCAGAAGGAGTTCCAGGTTCCTGGCTTCAGCCTGGCCTACCTCCAGCCACTACAGTCATATGGGCAATGAACCAGGAGATGGAGATTTCTCTCTCTGGCTCTCCCTCTCTATCACTCTGGATTTCAAATAAATAAATAAATATAATTTTTTTTGAAGAGAGAGGGTCAATGTTGTGGCACAGTGGGTTAAGCCATTGCTTGCAACACCAGTATCCCATATCAAAGTGCAGGTTCAAGTTCCACACCACTTCTAATCCAGCTCCTTGCTAATGTGCCTGCAAAACAGCAGATGGCCCACGTGCTTGAACCCAGCCACCCACATGTGAGAAAAAATGATGTTCTGGTCTCTTGGCTTCAGCCCAGCTCAGCCCCAGCTGTTGGAGCCATTTGGAAAATGAGCCAACAGTGGAAGATCTTTCTCTTCCCCTACTCCATACCCTGCCACTCTGCCATTCAAATAAATAACTTGTTGGGGCTGGTGCTGTGGCGCAGCAGGTAAAGCTGCCGCCTGCAGTGCCAGCATCCCATATTGGTGCCAGTTCCAGTCCTGGCTGCTCCACTTCCGATCCAGCTCTCTGCTATGGCCTGGGAAAGCAGTAGAAGATGGCCCAACTCCTTGGGTCTCTGCACCCGCGTGGGAGACCCGGAAGAAGCTCCTGGCTTCAGATGGGCACAGCTCCGGCCATTGCAGCTATCTGGGGAGTGAACCAGTGGATGGAAGACCTCTTTCTCTCTGCCTTCAAATAAATAAATAAATAAATCTTTAAAAAAAAATCATAAAAGAAAGAAGGGCTCAAATATGTTAGATTCAGAGCCAACTGACCTCCTTTCTAGAAGTAAACTTCAAGGTACACATTCTCTCCAGTTAGTCAACAACCTCACCTTCGCTCTCCCACCTGCCACCCTCCCAAGAAGGGAGACAAAGGCCCCTTCCTCTGCTGTAGACGAGTGGTGTGGAAGGGAAGCTCTGTGGGGCAGAGATTTGGCCTCCTGGGCACTGCTCTATCAGCAGCAGTGGGAACAGTGCTGCCACACAGCTGTTCTCCATCAGTATGAACAGATGGCTGGCTGAATGAGACATCAGGATTACGCTGGTCTGAGTTTACAACAGGATAAGCAGCATGGGTCACCGCTTTTAGCCAAATAACTAAGAAGCACTCACTTCTCTCTCCCAAGGAGGCTGGCAGGACCCTACTTCCCTACCTTTCGAAGCCGATATCCACTGAGCCGGCCCTGCTCTGCATCCACCAAATAAAAGAAGATGGAAGGGGCGAGCTCATGCAGCTGTCGCAGGACGTTCCGAGTGGCGGGAAACGCCGTGACCTTCAGGGGGCCCAAGAAGAGTCGTTAAAGGGAAGGCTCACACTCGCTAACCCAGACTCCCAAGGCTCATTATCGTTTCCCCAGCAAAGAGAGCCTTGAGAATGAAAGAATCACAGTCTAAAAAGAACTCAAGCCTCCTGAACTCAGTTTAGGGCTTCAATTTAGTTCTATTAAGAAGCTGAGCATTGGTGGCCAGCACTGTGGCATAGCGGGTAAGGCCGCAGCCTGCAATGTTAACATCCTATCTGGGCACTGGTTCGAGTCCTGCTGCTCTACTTCTGATCCAGCTACCTGCTAATGTACCTGGGAAAGCAGCAGAGGATGCCGAGTGCTTGGGCCCCTGCATCTATGTGGGAGACCCAGATAAAGCTCCTGGTTCCTGGCTTTGGCCTGGTCCCATCAGCTGATGGAAATCTCTCTCCATCTCTCTCTCTCTTTCTCTGTAACTCTTTCAAATAAATAAATCTTTAAAAAAAAAAAAAAAAAAAAAAAGCTGAGTGCTGCCAAGTATGGAAGCTCTAGGGCCCGGCGCTGTGGCGTAGCACATATAGTCACCGCCTGCAGTGCCAGCATCCCATATGGGTGCCAGTTCAGGTTCTGGCTGCTCCACTTCCCATCCGGCTCTCTGCTATGGCCTGGGAAAGCAGTAGAAGATGGCCCGAGTCCTTGGGCCTCTGCACCCATGTGGGAGACCTGGAAAAAGCTCCTGGCTCCTGGTTTTGGATTGGCCCAGTTGCGGCCATTGTGGCCATCTGGGGAGTAAACCAGCGAATGGAAGACCTCTCTCTCTCTGTGCATCTCTGTAACTCTGCCTTTCAAATAAATAAATCTTTAAAAAAAAGAGAGCGAGATGGGACCAGTGCTGTGGTGCAGCGGGTTAATGCCCTGGCCTGAAGTGCTGGCATCCCATGTGGGTGCCGGTTCGAGACTCAGCTGCTCCACTTCCGATCCGGCTCTCTCCTGTGGCCTAGGAATGCAGTAGAAGATGGCCTGAGTCCTTAATCACAACTCTTAGGGATGGCCTCAGCACCAATGTGTGCTGACTATGGACAGCACTCCCTCTCTGGCCGGCCACCTGCATCTGACCATGCCCCAGACACACCGACTCCACCCAGTGCTCTCATCTGAGGACACGGTACCTTGTATTCGTCATCTATCAGCAGCAACACCTTGGCATAGTCCTGATCCATGACCGGGAGAAGCAGGGACTGCAAGATGGGGCGCTTCAGCACCGGGGGAGCCACCTGACTCCACTTCCCGAAAATGGGATTGAAGACATACAGAGAACTCATTCCCGTCTCCTAAAATGGGCAGGCAAACCATCAGACTCCACCCACAAGAGTGCAAATCCCAAGGGTAAATCTGGAAAGCTGGGGGCTTCGTTCAAACGTGACGGCTTCCCTCATGCCCACCCTCTGTGGGAAATCAATCCATAGCTGAAGGCGAATGGTCTCCTGGGCTCATGGCAAAAGGGAAAAACTGTCTCGGGCTCCAAACCTAACCACAAACTGGCCATGCTGAGGCACAAACACAAGGATCAAGCACCCATTCAACCCACGGACGGCCACTCCAGCAGAATGTCTGCCGCCAAGCCCTTCCTAACAATGCCAGAACGAATCCATAAAAATCCTCTCTCGTTCTGGGAGGCTGTGTCCTGCTGTCCCTCACACAGAGCAAACAGCCACGCAATACCAACAACACAGCCATGTTTGGGAGGGAAGGAAACTGGCTGAAGTCACAGCCACTTGGAAGGCAATTCCACAGCAGTGCTGGACGGCACCTCCACCCAGGCAAGACGCTGGAAAGAAACAGAGTTCTAGCCCTAAAAGTCCGCCTTGAACCCCACAGAAGCCAAGGGCCCAGGAGGAACTTACGGTGGGAAACACAGCCCCGCTCTGGCCAGCCTCACCTTGTCCTTCACCAAGAGGGTGCACTGTGGGGGGTGGGGGAAATGGGCAGTGGTTCTCTGGACCATCAGTTTAAAGGAGGAATCTGGCTTGATGTTGGGCAGATACTGTTTCCACAGGATAGTGCCAGAGCTGCTCTCAATGCCAAAAAGCTGCAAGACAAACAAATGCTGGGCTCACTACCAGAACGAGATGCCAAAGACCCATCCTACCCTTGAAACTCGGAACCCGCACCACCCCCCGCGGAGGCGCTTTGCTTCCAGAACCTCAGAAGGTTCAGGAACCCGGGAAGGCTCTCACCTTGCCAGAAGCCGTTACCATCACCATCATCTTCTGGAGGTTGAATTCGTCTCTGGCCAGGGTGTCGATGTGGATCTCATTCTTAATCTGACTTCGGGGCTTCCGGGCATCATAAAACATTTTCCAGAGGTGCGAAGTCCACGCCTGCAGCAGGATGAGCTGAGACGAGAGGCGTTTCAAGAACATACCCAGCAAGCCGTCTGGTGTCAAGGAAAAGGAAACCCAGCCCGCATCAGACCTGGTGTCCAGCAAGGAGGCACGGGCTTTCTTCCTGCCCGTCCTGTGCAGTGTCGAGTCACTCCCAGGACAGCCCAGTCTGCGTCGATGCTGACTGTCTCACACTCAGGCACAGCCATGCAGGAGCTTCCAAACCTACTTACCTGGGCTCTCACCACTTCACCTGCCTAGAGTCTTAGAAAGAGACTAGGCGATCAGGGATCAGCCATGCAGGATGCAGCCATGCTGTGAATGTCCCCTCCTCAGCCCCACGTCCAGGAGGGCCAGAGGAAGGCTGCCGCGTGCCATGATCAAGCCAAAGAGGTGCACGTGTCGGGTGCAGGTGCCTCCACTTCCCACTGTGGCCTTCCTACTTGTCAGCTGTTTAATCTGCTACTACTGGGCTGACCTGCAATCCATTCCCAGGGTCCTCATTCACTCTATCTCCCACTCCATCAAAGAAGCCACAACCCTTCAGATCTCCTCCAGAGACCAAGATTCGGTGACAGAGGCCAGGTGACATGGTAAGGAACATATGTGGTGTCTGGAGTCTGGCGGGCCTGGATTAGAGTCCCAGCTGCACTACTCACTGCTGTGTGACCTTGGGAAACATACTTAACCTTTTTGCCTCAGGTTCCTTGTCTGCTAAACGGCATGCGACCCAGAGGCTGTTGCAGAGATCAGATCACATGAGGGACATACAAGATTTGGCACAGAGCCTGGTACACAGCAAGCGCTCCCGAAAAAGGAGGAGAGCCTTTGTTTATCTTATTTTCCACCAGTCTCAATTTAAGGAAGAGAAGTGAGAGGCAAACAGGACAAGTCACAGGCAAGCAGTCCAGGTACACACAGTATGTGCCACACTGATGCATGTCAGGAAAACCAGGCGGTAAACCAGAAGCTAGCCAAGTGGGCAGATCAGGAGCAACAAGGCAGCGAGAAGCAGGTTGTACCTTGAATTGCTGGATCCAGGCAGCAGAAACAAATAGTAAACTCAAATTAATCCTCGGCTTGCGACAACTGGCAATGCCTAGGCAGAGTAGCTGGCTCAGAGGAGGCCCTCAATAACTATCTGTGGGTGGGAGAGACGGAGGAGGCAGGACCAAACCAGAGCAGAGTGAACCAAGTTCATCCTAGGGGTTGGGACTGTAGCGGGTTTCAGAGGACACTGAGCTATTTCCACAGAAACCAGACCAACCCAGTCACGTCTCTCTGGATGATGGGATACAGGGCCTGACAACCTCTAGGCAGACAGGCAATGGCAACTATGACCACACTAAACCTATTCCCTCAGGCTCTCCATCCAGGGAGGTTCACAGCTGGCTCCTTCAGAGGAGGGAGGCGTTACACACACTGTCTGGGCACAATCGCACTGGATACCGGTCACAGAGCTTGTTCCAAACAGAGGGCCACTGGGCTGGGCCCAGGAAGCCAGGACACCGTGAGATGGTCTCTCCTGGAGCCCAGCTAACAAGCCCATCCCCAGAACAGCCCCTCCAGCAGCTCTGCTCTCCCTACCTCTTGGGCTCTTACCTGCCTTCTTGCCAAATTCTCCTTCCAGTTCAGCCTGCGCCCCGGTGAGGGGGAGGTCCACCATCTCCAGGCACACCACTTCTGCCAGGGACTCCTCACGGCTCCACAGCACCACCTTCCCTGCTGTGGAAGCCACATTTACAACCTGAGTCTACCTCCCAGCCCTCGCAAGACTCTCCCAGGAGGCTCAGAGATCCCTACAGCCCTCCTGTGAAAACAGAAGAGCAGAGCAAGCGGCTGGAACCAACAGGGCTAGAGAGGAACGTTCTATGTCCACCCTGGCATGCCAAGGGATTGTTCAAACACAGACTCTGGAAACGTGCAGGGCACATACCCCCGGAGCCTTTTCCCGGAGCCCGGGGGGAGTGGGGGCCTCACCCAGCTGCTGCAGGAAGAGGAGCAGGTGGTCCTCCGTCTGCACCAGGGCGCGGTAGCCCGCCGAGTCGTCCTTCTTCAAGAACACCTGGATGTAGAGCTGCAAGCCAAGCCGGTCACTGCGGTCAGTGAGAACCCGGATGCTCTCAGAGCACCGCACCCCAGACGCAACACTGTCTGATGTCCAAACAACACAGCCACGCCTGGACGCCAGTCAGATAGCGGATATTACAACAGTGGGACCGAGGTACCCTGGACCACTCTATGAAGGAACTTGAGTATTTCACAAAACTGTGGCATTCGCGATGCTCCAATGACATCCCGCAAAGAACCGAGAGGCCACGTTCAGACTTTCCATTGAGAGTTGAAGATGCCACAGCCAAGAGGCTGAGAAACGAAGCTCGATGTCTACAGAGGCCACCCTGGGTAGTGGCACTGAGTGCAGCTCTGGAGTCAGCCCTGAGCCTGAACCCCAGCAACACGTCTCACTGGCTCTGTGACTGCAGACAGGGGGCTGAATCCCACTGGGCCACAGGTCAGTAACTGAGGCCAGGTCAGTAACAACCCTTTCACAAGACTGCTGGGAGGGCGAAGCAAGGAAAAAGCACAGGGCCTGACTCGGAGTACGTAATACCTGCTGTCACTGTTATTCACGGTGAGTCAGTGGCTCAGAAGAACTAGCACCATGTCCCGAGAGGCCTACCCAGGCCCCATGGCGGTGACCCAGCTCTGAGCAAACGAATGTTCACGCTGAGAAGCCTGCAGGACTGAATCCAGACAAGGGCTCTACCTACCCTCTCAGGCCGAGTGCCGTTCTGTTCCAGGCTAAATGTGATCGCTGTGTCCAGCAGCCGCCGGCCCGTCTCGACCAGGTAGAGGTTAATGGTGTAGGTCTGGTTGAAGCAAGCCAGAGAGTTCTAGGGGTACAAACAGCATGGGTCAACTGGAGGGATTCCCCCAAAGCCAAGTGCAAGGACAGAGGCAAATACCTTAGAGAAGGAGCCAGGCCAGAAGGCGAATTACAAGCAAAGGGAAATAGAAGTGCAGAGAAAGCTGAGTCCTACAGCAGAAGTGAGGGGCCCGAGGCACGAATGAGGTCACAACTGCACACGCTGTTTCAGAAGGAAGCCGGCACAGCTGTGCAGAAGCAAGGCCAGGAGCAAGGCCAGGAGGCAGGGAGGAAGCCCCAGCAGCAACTCTGACCCCAGCCAGGCTCACACACCTCCTGCAAGCGCACAGTTACCACCCAAATCCATCAGCTGAGTCCCCAAAAGTAACGGGGAAACTCAAGCCCACAGGAGAGAGTGGTTAGGAACAGATTCTAGAAATTCTACCTCCTTATCTCCCCATAAAAATGGATCAAGAGAAACATCACTCTTGGTATCTGAGACACCCCCCATGTGAGGCTGGGAGCTCTGGGAGATCTGCTCCTCGCTTCAGCTACTCTGCCAACTTTCCTGGGTAGCCCCCCACATCTCTGGGCCCAGAACCTGCCCAATGCCATGCCCTACCTTTGGACTGGCCTTCTCTGAAAGGCTCCCCATTGGCCCATCTTCAGAACTGCCAGGTTTCTGCTTCAAGAGAAGAGGACAGGAGAAAACGCACTCAAGGGTACTCCCCAGTCACCAGAGGGCAGCTTTCATGTCTGCACCATCTCCGCACTTGGAAGAAGACACACAAGGCCTCAAGGCCTATGCCACCCCCAAGAGTCCCAGATGAAAGTGAGGTTGGCATCTTGGGGTCTCGCTTCCAGGGAGACAGGGGGTGAGACCTGGGCAGGCTATCCCACTCCTGTGCCCATTTTGACTGCCAGGGCTCCTGACAAGGACAGCAAGGGAAGCCCCATTGCCATTCCCAGCACTCACCGCTTCATTCCGACAGGTCATGACCGCGGCCACTGTCTTCTCCCCAGTGGTGGCAAAGCTCACCAGGGCAGTCTGGGGGAAAAGCGAGCTGTCAGCTCCTGAATGGGGCCTGTACCGGTCAGCAGCCTTACAAAGGGTCACCTGTCAGGGTCAGCCCCTCACCCCCAACCCCCGCCATGGAGTGGAAAGTGCTCTCAACTTTGGAACATAACAGCCAGGGCATCTGAGAGCAGAGGGAGGTCCCAATTCACCTGCGAATGAAAACAGGACGCTCCTCTATGTCAACACAGGCACAAGTCAATCCTAACCCCCCTGCGGCTCTGAGAAACCACAGGGCAGCTCTAATCTATGTCCCCACTGCAGACTCAAAGGAGGGCACCGGTTTTATTTTAAGATCCTCTGCAGCTTCCCCAAGGGAAAGCCTCGCGTGCCCAAACCGCTGATGGGACGGTGTCATGAGTGCCCAGCAAATGCCTCCAGCTTCAAGGCCTTGGCTCCCAGCACCCACGTCTCGGCCAGACTCTCCTGAACCCTAGCGAGCCACACGGCCTGCAGTTACCTGGGGGAAGTTCTTGAGCAGGCTCAGGGCCCCGTGATGGTAGTTCAGAAGGGCGTAGTGGCTTGCGGACAGCTGCAGAAAGAACTGGGCCCGAGATGGATCCACTGGGTTGGGCTGCGTGGGCAGCACACGGGGCTGGAATCCACTTCCAAATTCTAAGTCAAGAGACTGCGAGGCCATGAAGGAAGATCAGAGCCGGAAGGCAACAAGTCAGTGCCCCTCCTTGCCTAGGGAAGTAACTGGGCCAGAGCAGGCGGCTCCACAAGCACCCCTTCAGCTCCCCCAAGGGAAGTGGCCCATTTCCCCCACACCCAGTCAGCCAGAGGCCTGAACTCACCCTATGACTGCCACAGGTCAGCAAGGAAGCAGCAAGCCTGGCCCAAAGACCCTCCAGGGGAGCTCCTGCCACCCTCTCAGCCCCAAGGGGAGGCCTCAGGCTGGGGCAGCTGCAGCCTCTCACCTGCAGTGGGATCTGCCTCAGCTCCCACTCCGTCTCCAGGGCCAGAGTTTGGAGGGATCGTGAGCTCGGGTCAGGGCACACCAGGACAGCGTCATCCACTATGCCACAGGCTCCAGTGAGGCGCTGCAGCCACGGAGTTGAAACCCTGACCTGCGGGGGAGACACTGCACGGGAGGCGGGGAAGGGCTGCACTCCCCTCATGGCCCATCAGCGACATCGCTGCCAGAGTCCCACTGGGGGACTCCAAAGGGTCACAGCTCATTCCACAGGTGTGCTTCCTCCCCCACTCTACCTGCCCCCAACCTCCAAAGTCAAAAGAAAAAACAAACAAACAAACAAAAAAAACCCAGGAGACACCTTCTGGTCCCTGGAAGAATATAGCAGGTAACTTTTGTACCTGAAGCTTCAGACAAGCATTTGTCTACCATGTGTGGGTTCCTGTGGCTATTTCACGGCACTCTCTCAGAAGACACCCACGGGCAATAGTAGATCCTAATTTTTCAGCCCCCCAAAAGAATTCCATGTGCATAAGCAAAGACATTAAATAAATGCTGGATGAGAAGGGAGCCATAATGAACAGGGACCATAATGGCTCTGGCACGCGCCTAGCCCAGTTCCCGGGTCCCCAGTGCCAAGAAGGCCTCCGTCCAGTGCCCTCCCCATTGACGAAACTCCTTGAGCCACACACCCTCCCGTACCTGCTGAACAATCTCTCCGTCCTCCACATTGAACTTGACAATGTTCACATGGCTGAAGGGAACCACGCCAAGGGCCCACACCACCCCAGAGCCATAGGAGTACACCATCTGGTAGTGGATGCTGTCGCTGAGAGAGGGAAGGCGAGCAGGAAGAACAGCTTTAGTCCTAGGACAGGGCACCCTCAGGGCCTCCCGACACCAGGGCTGCTGGTCCCTATCCAGCTGCCACCAACTGGCCGTCCCCAAAGAAGTCCAGTCTGGCTCATGCAGTTTTGGGATTTTCTCTTGTTTGTTTTGCTTTATCTATCTCATTTATCTGAAAGGCAAAGACATGGACATCTTTCATCTGCTGGTTCATTTCCCAGATGCCCACAACAGCTGGGGCTGGACCGGGCCAAAGGCAAGAGCCCAGAGTTCAATCTGGGTCTCCCATGTGGATGGCAGGGGCCCACACACGTCAGTCATTACCAGTGAGTCCCATGGTACACATCAGCAGGAAGCTAGAACTGGGAGTGCAGCTGGGACAGACATAAACCCTGGCACTCTGATATGGTGTGTGGGTATCCCAAGCAACATCTTAACCACTAGGCCCCTTGTTTTGAATTTGAGTCAGTTGTCAACATTAGAGCTAAGATTCTACACCAAAATCCAACTTCAGCTTTTTAAAATTTCTTCAAGTTTTATTTGACTAGTTACTTGAAAGGCAGAGTGAGAGAGATAACAGAGAGAGAATTTCGATCCACTAGTTCACTCCTCAAATGCCCCCCATGGCTGAGGTTAGACCAGGCCAAAGACAGGAGCCCAGAACCCAATCCAGGTTTTCCACGTGGATGGCAGGGACCCAAGCGCTTCAACCATCACCTGCTGCCTCCCAGGGTGCACATTAGCAGGAAGCTGGATTGGAAGCAGAGCAAGAACTCAAACCCAGGCACGCTGACACGGGATGTAGGCATCCCAAGTGGTGTCTTAACCAACAGTGCCAAAAACCGACCCCAGCTAGCTCTTCTTAATGACAGACAATGTGGCAACACCAGGCCTACCCACAGCCCGCAGGGCACCAGTCACCTAATAAGGCTGATCCCTTGGGGGATGCCAGGGAACTGCAATTCCCTGCAGCCCCTATGGGGCCTGTGCTGCTACCAGATGCTCTGCACTTGGCGCATGGGAATTTGAGCTTGGATCCCTGCCAGAGACTTTGGAAACACCCGCAGCTGCCCTGGGGAGATTGACTGTTTCCCATGCTCCCTCCTGCCCCTCGTCAGCACAGGATATGAGCTTGGATCCCTGCCAGAGACTCTGGAAACACCCACAGCGGGCCTGGGCAGGTCTTCTCCTCACTCTCTCCTGCTCCTTGTCAGCTTCAACGCTTTCCGCAACAGGATCTCTGGAAACCATCTCAAACCTCACCCCGCTCCTTCCATTGGGCTAATTCTTCTTCTTCTTTATTCTTTTTTTGTTTTTTCTTTTTAAGATTTATTTATTTACTTACTTGAAAGGCAGAATTACAGAGAGGGAGGACAGACAAAAAGGGTGATCTTCCACCCACTGGTTCACTCCCCAAATAGCTGCACCGGCTGGGGCTGGGCCAGGCTGACGCTGGGAGCCCACATTTGAGTCTCCCGCATGGGTGTCAGGGACCCAGGCACTTGGGCCATCATCTACTGCTTTCCCAGGTGCAGTGGCAGGAGCTGGATCAAAACTGGAGCAGCCAGGACTCAAACCAGTGCTCAGACGGGATGCCGGACGTAGGCGGTGGCCTCACCCGCTACGCCACGATGCCAGCCCCGGTTGTGCTGATTCTTAATATGAATGGAAGGCTCAGTCTCACCTGAACTACAAGTCAAAAAGCCCGAGGTACCGTGGCCATGAGCGAGCCAGCGGCTCCCGCTCTGACACCCTGGTTTGAGAGTTCTCTCCTCGCTGCAAAGGGAACTCCTAACAGAGCCACAGGTTTTGTGCTCAGGCCCCCGTCTGGTGGCTGCAACACTCTCTACACGCTACCAGCACAGGGCCGGCCTGGGTCAAAGCCAACCGCGGGGAGGAAGAGGGTCCTGTGCGGAGCAGGACGAGGCCGCTGTGGCCCCCAAGGAGGTGGCCTTACCTTTCCGGGAGGTGCTCCACCCACTTGAGGTGGCCACTGGAGAGGTGGTGGAGGGCAAGCGTGGTCCTCTTCAGGACGGCGACGTACCTCACCGACCCCTGCAGGCCCACCAGCCCGAGCGCCTGGAAACTGAGCAGAGGCACAGGTGAGCACGGCCCCACGCCTGCAGAGCCTCAGGCTAGGGCTCCACCTGGAACACTGCCACTGCTGCTGGCTGGGCAGGAAGACAGGCCCAGGGGTCGCACCTGACTCTTTCCTCTGTTGACTTGAGAGTCTACACTCACAACCATCGGGCCACACTGCTCCCCAGAGCCCCTGAATCTCCTCAGAGCTGTTCCCATCCCCTGGGACTTCACAGTAACCAGCAAACCCTCCACCACGCGGCCACCGGATGGAGCCGTCATGATTCAGCCGCCTGCCTGCCTGCCTCCCCAGAGAGAAGCCGCCATCACCATCCTCGATGACAGAAACCGTTACACTTACACGTGTGCCAGGGGCCCAGCCACCACGTGTTTACCCAGTAAATCACTACCCTAAGATGTGGAGGCCAAGGCAAAGGACCCTGTAATTTAGACAAGACGAGACCGCAGCTCAAGCTGTTCTCAAAACCGAAAACTACACGTGGAAGACGGCAAAGCCACAGATCGCCGCACGGTGAGGAAGGCATCGAGGATGAGAATGAACTCTACACCCGGCACAGAGCTCTGCGCCCAGCAAGCGCCCGGTGAGCGTGCACTGACTTAACGTGCTGCACAACCTCAAGCGCACCGAGGATGGGCATTCGACGGTCTGCGGCTCTTCAGTGGGCCCTGAGGAAAGGGTCCAGAGGCCTGGGGTCGCTCTCCATGCATTTCTGGCTGCCCGCAGAGCCCCAAACCCAGCCACAATGGAATTCGGCTTCCGCCCTCACCTGCCGCTGTCCAGGGTGATCTCCCAGTTCAGGCCCCCAATGTTAGTCTCCCAGGAACGCATGATTCGGCCTCCATTGGACACAGTGATTGCATCTGGAAGAGGCAAAAAGCTGGTGAAGTCATTTCCTGGACTTGCTCCGCCAGCTGCTGGGGTCCAGGAGCAGGGGCCCCACCTCTGACGTGTGAACGCAAACAGCCTTCACTGCCAGGAGCGCCCTTCTCCTTTCCCTACCAGACCCTGCAGGAAGGCAGGGACCAGGGACTACACGAGGAGCCTCCCCCACGAAGGAGACACAGCAGGCCTCGGCTCACCCTGTCCCTGGAGCAGCATGGCATCCACAGCCCCTTCCGCCGTGCCCTTGTCAACGTGGCGCCACACTGAGAGACACAAAAGCCAGACGTTAGCCGACGGAGCACTAGGAGAGAACTGAGGACATCCTGCTGTGCACGGGGGCATCCAAGGCTGCTTCGAGGGTGGGAGGAGCGCTGCTGAGGGGGAACGATTCAGCCCCTGCAGCAAGTACCGGGGGAGGCTCTGCACTGCCATCCCCACCCCACCAGCACCCGGATAAACAAGCACGGCAAGATGAACGAAATCCATCCGATTCCCAGGAGAAGCAGCCATTGTAAATCCCACTTCCACAACGCCAGTGCCTGAAGCCCAGCGGAGGGAGTAACAGAGGGGGCGCAGGCTGGAACAGGGGCTTCCGCAGCCACACTGCACGTGGGGGGCCCTGAATCCAGGCTGAGGGAATCAACCCACAGCGGCCTGCTAACAGGAGTGTGTTAACTACTCAGACAAGAAAGAAAAGGAAAACAAGAAAGAATCAGAGCCCACTACGAGAGGCACCTCTAGGACTTGGGACCCAGCCACACAGGTCTGAGCGCCGGGCCGCTCAGGTTCTCCGAGGCCAGCCTGCCCGCCCCCGAGCTGAGCGGTCCCGGTCCCGCGGCTCACTCACAGATCTCCCCGGTGCGAGAATTTAATGCCGCGATCACGTTCTTCTCTGTGGCCACAACCAACTTCTTGGATCCGGGGGAAAATTCCAAGGAGGCGAACTTAAGCTTCCCAACATACTGCTGTCTCCTGAGAAGAGGGTGCAAGGGGACACGAGGGCCCCAAACCATCACGCACAAACGCTGTGGCAGTGGACAAGTCACAGGGCCACCCCCACCACCCTCCTGAGGACGCACAAGAAACGCTCGCTCATAAACAGACAATGCCGAAAGCAAGATTCCCATGCATGGAGTCGGACGCACAGGAACGAGAGGGGAGAAGGACCTCCTCGCAGGAGAGAAAGACCAGGTCTTCCAGCTAATGCAATGCATAAGGGGCGTCCACGAGAACAGAAGCCGATGCTGGAACAAACAGCACACTCTTCCCCGCCGTCGGTGACAAATGTGGATCTGCAGCTTATAAACAAGAGTAGGGACGCCACCTTGCCAAGCTTCCCTTCCCGTCACTGCGCTCTGGATAGATAATAAAGCACGCAGGCACGCCAACAAGACCCCAGAGACGGGGCTGGGCCTCTGTTCTCTCCAGCCCTTGCCAGCCCACACCCTGGGCACCCATCTGCATCAGTGCTCATGCTGTGCCTGGGCTGGGTCACTTTCAGCACCCTGCACCAGCACCAAGGGAGTATGGTCCCTCTCGAGATGGAAACCACCGCGTATGGGCGGTACCTACACACTGCAGCTAATGCAAAACCAGCACGTTCAGCACCTGTGGCGTGTGCAGCTCGGTCTCGTTTATTAAATTAAAAAAAAAAAAAAAAAAGGCTAGGTGCTGTGGTGCAGAGGATTAAGCCGTCACTCCCAATACCAGCACCCTGTGTTGCATGGCGATTCGAGTTTGGGCTGTTCCACTTCAGATCCAGTTCCCTGCTGATGGGCCTGGGAAGGCAGTGGAAGATGCCCAAGCACGTGGGCCCCTGCCACTCACGTGGGAGACCAGGGTTGGAGCCCCATGGCTCCCGGCTTTGGCCTGGCCCGGCCCTCTGGGGAGCAAACCACTCCATTACCATATACCATGACCCTCTCGTTACGTATTGCATTAGCTGGAAGACTGTCAGTGTTTCTCTTCCGCTAGGAGGTCCCGCTCCCCTCTCCATCTCTCCCTCTCTGTTGCTCTTTCAAGTCAATACATAAATACTTAGAAACAAGAAAAAGAAACTAAGTTAGCAGAGGCAGATTTTTATGATCTTTGACAGTTTGTACGCGTGTTTTCACATACTTCATTCTCACTGTACCCACTGAACAACCCCACGCACGCCCGGCCGCAGGGAGCCCTGTCACCGCCCACCCCACGCACGCCTGGTCGCCGGGGGCCGCGTCTGTCACCGCCACCCCACGCACGCCTGGTCGCCGGGGGCCGCGTCTGTCACCGCCCACCCCACGCACGCCTGGTCGCCGGGGGCCGCGTCTGTCACCGCCACCCCACGCACGCCTGGTCGCCGGGGGCCGCGTCTGTCACCGCCCACCAGAACCCCACAGGGCCGGTTTCGGGCGGGCATCCCGCACCGTCCCACAAGCACTCCCCCCAATGCTCGGCTTAGTGCACCTCGTCCTAAAATCCTTCTTTTTGGAAGAAGAGATCCCCGTTTTCATTCTGCACTGGGGCCCGCAGGTCCGTAGCCGACCCCGCGACATGGTAACCTCCCGCCCGTTAGCAGGTCGGACGCAGGTGCTGGGAAAACAACCACCTGCTTCCCGAATCACCCCAACACGGACGCACCAGTCAAACTTGCCCACTTGGTCCTCGTAGACCGCGGCCGCAGGGATGAGCAGCGCAGCCCAGAACCAGAACCGGGAAGCGGACGCCGCCGCCATGACAGGCCCGAGGCCCCGCCCGCCGCCGGCCCGGCATGCACCGGGTCGCAGGCTCCGCCTCCCTGGAACCATAGAGTTGAGGCCGCTCGCTAGGCCTTCGGTAGGGCGCTCAGTGCCCGGAGGACTCCAGGACGCTCCGGCAAGCAGCCCTGCAAGCACAGGCGAACCCGTGGGCGGCGGCACGGCCAGGGGAGACAGGTCGCAGGGCACATCGGGTCAGGCACACGCGAGGGCAGCCTCCAAGGCGCGTCCCAGAGGCCCCCGCGCCGCCGGGGTCCTAGCGAGCCGCACCACTTTCAGCCGCACGTGGCTCCAGCGCGATGCCCAAGTCCAAGCGGGACAAGAAAGGTGGGCCGAGCGGGAGACGGGACCCAGCGGTGGGGCTTTGGGGCGGCGGGGCCCGGAGCGCGTCCCCGGGACGTCCGTGGGGAGCTCGCCGCGAGCTGGCGTGGGTCCCGGGGCGGCGGGATCACCGGCGGGAGCTGGAGCCCGGGCGGGGCGGGGAAACCAGCTCTGTGGCCTGGCTTCCAGCGCTTTTGCGAGCGTCCAGGCTGGGCCGCGTCCCCCACCGCAGCCTCTCCCCGTTTTCCCTCTGTCTCTGCGCTCCCGCCGCCCTGGCTGCCTTTCCCGAGCTGCGGAACAGGCGTGTCCCCGCGTCTGACTCTCTGCTTGCGTTTCCTTTAGCCCCACGCACGCAGATGCCCCCGTCCCCATATGCCTGGACTTTGTCCGTCCAGGAGAGGTGCCTCCTGAGACACCGTTCCTGGCGTCTGTCACTCGGGAGCTTTGGCATCTTCAACAGTGCTTAGGGGTCTGGGACTTGTTGGGCATTGGAGGATGCGGCACTTAGGACAAGGAAGTCCTCGCTAATCGCTTTAGTCGTGCACTAATCACGGATCCCCCAAGGTATAAGAAGCGGGATAAACGGGGTTTGTCAGATCGTGGTGGCCCTCGTGGAATAAACGTGGTGCAAAGAGGTGGAAGTGACATCCTGTGTAGTGCGGTTCCGGGAGGGCCCCACTGACGAGCAGAAGCCTGGGCGGTCTCGGGGGGAACGCGCCGTGCAGGGTCCCGAGGTAGGGAAACGCCTGGCTTCCTGGAGCTTAATCCGAGCGGCGATGGGAGGGGTCTTTAGTGTCAGAGGCTGGTAGCCTGGGTGAAGGTGGGGGCAGAGGGCGAGTAAGGCTGACGCTGGCCGAGTGGGAGCAGCGGGTATCGTGGGAGTGAGTGGCTGTGTTTCATTTGCCCTCCTCTCTCACACTGGCCGCTGACTGGTGTGCTCGCCTTTGTCCGCTGTGCCTTGTGCAGAGGGACTGCGAGTGCCGGGCAGGGTGCGCAAGGGGACATTGCCGGTGGTGCTGTGTTAGGTGTTTGGCAGGATTTGATTCCTGGTCAGATCTGGCACGTGGCAGCTCCTCTGGGTAGGGGACACATAACAGCCTGGCTTGCCACAGCTCAGGCCGGCCGGAGCAGGCCAGCAGCCGGAGCATGCCTCACCTGGGACTGGAAGTAGAGACTTGGGGGTCAGCCCAAGGGGCTAAGGGACTCCAGACCCGGGAACGCTGGGACGTAGGCCTCCAGGGACGCTGCGAGAAGCGACGGCAGCAGAGGCCTGGCTGCCTCCCCTCAGGCCGCCTGGTCCAGCCGAGCTACTGAAGCGGAGAAGGAGATGGGTCCCCAGGGCGGAGAAGGAGATGGGTCTCCAGGCGTGCGGATGTCTGATCGTCACTCCGCTTGTTTTCCCTTGTGGTAGTGTCCTTAACCAAAACTGCCAAGAAGGGCTTGGAGCTGAAGCAGAACCTGATAGAAGAGGTGAGCGCCTGTTCTTGACTCTCGGAGCTTGCGTTGGGTGGGTTTCTAAGGGCGGACACAGGCGCCCGTTTCCTCCTGAGCAGCCCCCCCGGCAGGACTGGTGCGGCGAGGCCCTGCAGCTTGGCCGCGTCTCAAGCCAGGTGGTCGCACGTGTTTTCCCACTGCGTCCTAGTGATGGGCTGGCCATCTCAGAGCTGGGGTAACTGACGCTTGGGTTCAGCAGGATGCCCGCCATCCGAACACGGGGGGTCACCAGGAGTGGGTGACCACACTGCTTCCGACCTGCCAGTCGCGGGCCCCGGGCTGGGTGAGCGCAGGGTCTCCTGCACCAGTTCCATTGCTTAGGGCTGGAATTTCACCCGAGCCGCTTCCCCTGAGAGCAGATAAGTCTTCATGTTTCTCCCTAGTGGGACCCTCCCCAGAGCGAGTAAACGTTTCTGGGTTACCCTTGGACAAAGCAGAGAAGTGTTGTCTGCTATGATTGCAGATGAGTTGGGGTGGGGTAGAGCCATGGGGTCTGGGCTACTGGCTCCACTTTGGCCATATCCAGCGGTCCTGGTTTCGGTAATGGAGGTAAAGGGACAACAGGGTCAGGGCGTCCAGGTCCTAGGGCTTGTGCAGTTATGGGGCCCAAAGCAGAGGCTTTCCCATTGGAGACCAGAGCGGTGCCCAGCCCATGCCGTCCCTGGGATCCGGGCAACTCCCTGACTTACCCCACAGCTGCGGAAATGCGTGGACACGTACAAGTACCTGTTCCTCTTCTCCGTGGCCAACATGAGGAACAACAAGCTGAAAGACATCCGGAACGCCTGGAAGCACAGCCGGTGAGCCGGTGCCTGGGTCCCACGGCGCCCCACCCGGGGACTCCTAGCCAAGGCGAGGCTGGCTTTGAGCTCCGCAGAGGCAGGAAGTGGTTGTTAACGCAGGGATGGTTGGGATGTGGCCCCTAATGCTGGAGCTCGGGCCTTCTAGGAGCACCGCGCCAGGTTTAGAGCTGTCGTCTGTGCTCGGGGGCACACCCAGCGCTGTCCTGGCTGGGGTCGTGCTCGTGCGGACGGCTCTGGGGTGGCTCTCTGGCTGCGCTGGCTCTGGTTCAGGCTGTGGCACGTGCCTCTTCCATATGCCCAGGCCAGGAGGGAGCCACACAGAATTCACAGCGTGCCCGTGGACAAGATACGGCCGTTGTCGGGGGGAGATAGTGGAAGAGTCCCTGGGCCGGGCACAGAGTGTGGTGGGCTGTGGTGTGGAGAAGTGGGGTCCTCTGGCCATGCCCCCTGGGCCTGGGTCAGCGTGGTGCTGGAGACCTGGGCTGGTTGATGTTGACCTGGGCGGGTCCCTCACAGACACCTTGTTTTCTCGGTAGGATGTTCTTTGGCAAAAACAAGGTGATGATGGTGGCTTTGGGCCGGAGCCCGGCTGATGAGTACAAAGATAACCTGCATCAGGTACATCACCAGCCCTCGGCGGGGGGGCGGGCAGAGCTGCCTACTGCTGCTCCCCATGTGCCCCGAGCCACGTGGCGGCCCCTGGTAGGGAGAGCAGGGCTCGGGTTTTCCATAACCTCCAGACCGAGGGAGCAGCCGCCTTCCCCCAGCCCACGATGTCTCGCGCCCTGGCCACGCGTCCCCGGTGGGTGCAATCCCTCTGGTAGAGCGCCGGTGCTGGCCCGGTGCGAGCGGACTGGCACGCTGTGGCTTGCAGGTCAGCAAGAAGTTGCGGGGTGAAGTCGGCCTCCTTTTCACAGACCGCACCAAGGAGGAGGTGAATGAGTAAGTGGGGGGGACCGGAGGAGGACGGCAGGGGAGGGGGGACCCCAGGAGGGGTGCCGCTGCCTTGGAACTGGCCCCTGGAAGCGTCCTCACAGGTGGGTGGGCTGTGACCAGGCCCTTCTCTGCCCTCTGCACGGAGTTGCCGGCTGGCAGCTGGCCAGTTCTGGGGGAGGGGCCACGAGGAGCCCCCCCTCCCACTACTTTCCTCTTCCCTAAGGTGGTTCACGAAGTATGCGGAAATGGACTACGCGCGAGCTGGGAACAAAGCCACTTTCACCGTGAGCCTGGACCCAGGGCCACTGGAGCAGTTCCCCCATTCCATGGAGCCACAGCTGAGGCAGCTGGGCCTGCCCACTGCCCTCAAGAGAGGTATGGCTGTCCCCGCAGCTCACGGCCACGGCTAAGGGCGCAGGGGTCGAGCACCTCCATTCTGGCTCAGCGAAGCATTTCTTGCTGCTGCCGTTTTGATTCATTTATTTGACAGGCAGAGTGACAGGTTTTCCACCTGCTGGTTCACCCCCCAGGGTGGCCCCAGCAGCTGTGGGCCCGGCTGAAACTGGGAGCCTAGAGCTCCACCTGCGTCTCCCATGTGGGTGGGAGGGGCTGAGGCACTTGATTAGCAGGAAGCAGCACTCTGGTGTGGGATGGGGGTCCCCAGCAGCCGCTCACCCACCCCTCAGCGAGGTATTTCTGTAAGCCCCACCCTGTTACGTGACAGTGAGTGAAGAGTGCCCGCTCACAGCTGGGGTGAAAGTGGATGGCACTTGCAGCCAGGGCGTGCGTGGGAGGGCTGCAGGGGGCAGCCGCTGCCTCGTGTGCTGGAGCTGGGAAGGCGGAGGAGCTTGCCTGATTCTTGCCAACTCTGCGCAGTGAGCAGCAAGGCTGTGTGGGCCATCCGTGCCCGGAGTAACTCGGGGCCAGCGTTATGGCACAGCTTTTCAAGTCGCCACTGGCGACACTGACAAGCTATATTGGAGTGCCAGTTCAAGTCCCAGAAACTCTGCTTCCAATGCAGCTTCCTGCAAATAAAGCAGCAGATGCTGGCCAAAGTGCCTGGTTCCCTGCCACCCGTGAGGGAGACCAGGATGGAGTTCCAGGCTCCTGGCTTCAGCCTGGCTCAAACCTGGCTGTTCCAGGCATCTGGAAAGAACCAGTGAATGGAAGGTCTCTCTCTCTCCCTCTCTCTCCCTCTCTCTCCCTTTCTCTCCCTCCCTTCCTCCCTCTCTCCCTCCCCCCCCTCCCCTCCCCACAAATAAAGTCATAACTTTAGAAGTAACTCGGGGCCACCTCCGCAGGTGTGGTGACCCTGCTGTCTGACTATGAGGTGTGCAAGGAGGGCGACGTGCTGACGCCAGAGCAGGCCCGGGTCCTGGTGAGTCTGTCCGCGGGGCTGTGCTGGGAGCATCCCTCTTGCCTGCCACGGGCATCCCCCCCCACACCGGATCTGCGCTCGCGTCTCCCAACTCCCGGCTTGCCGTGTCTCTTGCAGAAGCTTTTTGGGTATGAGATGGCTGAGTTCAAGGTGACCATCACATACATGTGGGATGCCCAGTCTGGAAGGTTCCAACAGATGGGAGACGACTTGCCAGAGGGCATGTCCGAGTCGGCGACAGAGTCGGAGGAAGACGAGAATGACTGAGTTGGGGCCTCTGGACGGCAGGGCTTGGCTGGACGTGCGGCGGTGCCGGGAGCAGCTGTGACTGAAGTCAAGGGAGGGCCACGGGGACTGTGCTTCTGCAAAGAATAAACTCCACCCACAGGCGCTCCCTGTGGACGAGAGACTTTTCCCCGGAGAGAGGCCTTTGGATTTGTGCTGGTCTGTAGGGGCAGCCGAGGGCGACCATCCCCTGGCTTCCCAACCCTGCAGGCCCTTTGCTTGAAACAAGGATTCGCTGAGAAAATGGGTCCCTGGCTGCCCCTCCCATCCCTCCACCTGCGTCCCCTCCCCTACCAGGACTGACAGTGGCGAGAGCGAAACCACTGCTGGGGTTCGGGCGAGTGTTGAAAGTGGCCCAGTGCCCCGGGAATGTCACTCTGCGTGGCTGACGGGGGGGTCTCGCCCCCGTTGCCTGTCTGTAGGTATCTGGCCAAAGCGCTGAATGAGGACCTCCATCTCCAGTGCACAGCGCTCTCTTCCATCATCACAGGTGTGAGGGCCACGCCCAGCCCCACTGTGGAGACCCTTGTGGGGGCAGAGTGCCCCGCGACTTGCTCCAAGGCCTGCCCGCCCCCCAGGTCTGCGCCGCAGCCTGGCCCAGTGCCGCTTTATTCAGCAGGAAGGGCTGGGTAGGGCTCAGGCCCGGCCACCTCACTGCGAAGGCAGCTGGGAGCATTGCAGGAATGTGGGAGATAAACGGGATGCAGCAGAGGACGCGCTGGGTCAGCTCCAGGCCAAAAGCCATCAGGGTGAGAAGGAAAGAGATGGCCGGCGGGGCCCTCTGCACCCCCAAGTCAGGCCTGGGCCTAGCGGAAGAGTTGAGGTGCTCTGGGCAGCCAGGTGCCAGGCGTGAGCAAAGGCCTCCGTGACACACCCGAGCCCACCCCTGCTAAGATGCAGACTGTGAAGCCCCGCCCCCAGGCCGTGTCAAAGCTGAGTAAACCTGGGGTGGTTACTTGACCTTCGGCTTCTACTCCCTTTGCTTCGCTGCGCAGTTGTGGGAATCAGATGGTCTGTGAAGTGCTTTGCTCCAAGCCTGGCGCGTACCGTTACCAGGTGTTCACTCAGCCATCGCCGTAGAATGCCCACGCTGGAGAAGGGGTCAGGGCAACGGGGCAGCAAAGGAGTGAAGCTTGCCCCACTGCTCACTGTGCTGTGCGTACAGACACTCTGTCTCCAGGGTGGGCTGCGGGGGGGCACTGGGTGCTAAATGTTTAGCAAGGTTTGAGTCAGACCCACGCCTGCCTCCCTTGTGCGGTTGTGAGGTCTCAGTGGAGGCAGCTTCCTCTTGGCTGGTCACCACCAGGTGGAGCTGGGCTGTGAAGAGATGTCACAGGAAGCAAAGGCACTTTCAGGAATAAGCGCACACTAACCCTTCCACTCCCACACCTTTCTGCATTTAAGGGGCAGGGGCAGGTGCTATGGCGCAGCGGGTTAAAACCCTGGCCTGCGTCCTGTATGAGCACCGGTTCAAGTCCTGGCTGCTCCACTTCAAATCCAGCTCTCTGCTGTGGCCTAGGGAAGCAGAAGGTGGCCCAAGTCCTTGGGCCCCTGCACCCATAGTAGGAGACCTGGAAGAGGCTCCTGGCTCCAGCGTAGCTCAGCTCTGGCTGTTGTATTCATCTGGGGAGGAACCAACAAATGGAAGACTTATCTCTGGCTCTACCTCTCTAACTCAAATTAAAAAAAACAGCAGAGTGTCCCGCTGCAAGTGGTGGTCTGTCCACCAGAGGGCAGCCGAGGTCAAGCTGGCAGAGTCAGCCGTGATTGACGTGCAAGGCCATCAGAGCAATGGCCTTGTAGTGGTCCTCTTTCCAGCAGGTGGGGAGGTGGCACAGGGGTCCGTCCAGGAGAGCCACCCGTGCTGCAGTCCCAGAAGCACGGAAGAGCAGCCCAGTGTCAAGTGCAGGTCCTTTCTGAGCATCTGTGCAGCTCTCTGAGCCCCCTCAGCTTGGTGTTTTAGTCTGGCCGGGGCAGAGGGGATGAGTCAGCAAGAGTTTTCACTTTTAACCTGTTCCACCAAAAGTCAACCGCCCCGCCCCCCGAACTCCTGTGTGTCTACACTCTGAGCCCTGACGAAGGACCTGTGATAAGCCCCAGCTCCACTCCAGGCTCTGACCGTGGCTGTGCCACCTCCTTTCCCTGCTCGGCGAGGAAAGGAAAGCCCGCCTGCGGGCCTCACATCCTGAACACAGGCGGGAAGGAGCCAAGGACCCTGGTCGTGCTTTGTACACTGAGCAGAGCCGGTGGCAGCAAACCACGAGGAGGCCTTGGCTCTCCAGCACTGAGGCCTGGGCCCTGGCAGTCTAACGGGCAACTCGAGAGCCACTGTTCAGACAGTGGTCCTCAAAGCTGGCCGGATGCTCAGAAGCCGGTGGCGGGCAGGGGCAGGACACGGGGGGTCCCCAATAAGGAATTGTTTTCTTTTTTGTGTTTATCTTGGGGCCAGCATTGTAGTGCAGTGGGTTAAGGTACCGCCTGCAATGCCAGTATCCCATATAAACCCTAGTTCGAGTCCCAGCTGCTCTACTTCTGATCCAGCTCCTTGCTAATGGACCTGGGAAGGCATCAGGGCATGGCCGAAGTGCCTGGGCCCCGGCACCCACGTGGGAGACCTGGGTGGAGTTCCTGGCTCACGACTTTGGCCTGGCACAGCCCTGGCGGTTATCACCATTTGGAGAATGAAGCGACAAATGGTAGATCTCCATCTCTGTCACTCTTTCAAATAATTTTTTTTTAATTTATGTATGTATTTGAAAGGCAGAGAGAGAGGGAACGATCTCCCATCTGCCGATCCATTCCCCAAACGCCTGCAGCAGCTAGGGCTAGGCCAGGCCAAAGCCAGGAACTCCCATCTGGGTCTGCCACGTGGGCCGTCATCTGCCCCCTCCCAGGGTGCAGCTTAGCAGGCAGCTGGGTGCAGGCAGAGGCAGAACTCCCATCTCAGCTGTCTGAGACAGGTGCAGGTGTCCAGGGCACACAAAGTGGATCCAGTTCCATGATCTGCTTGCATCCTTGGCCATCTCAATAAAGTCTGCAAGACCCTTGAACTGCTTTTACCCTCCTCCCAGCGGGGAGATGTGGGAGATCAAAAAGCAAGCGAATGAATCAAGTTGCACACAAATTAGCCCAGTGAGACGCCAGGGTCTGCAGCCCAAGCCCCCAAAGCCTTTCCCAGAGCCTCACAAGGAGGGGAAGGGGCTCACTGAAGCTCACAGGAAAGCAGGCACCTGGATCAGAGCAAAGGGAAGCGCTGTCTCTCAGCAAGCAAAGCAGCTCCGGGTATCCCCCACCTCGAGTGAACCCCTGCCACGTCCTGCCCAGACAGTGCTGTCTCAGCTCACCGATTCCTGCAGATACCAACGTGTTTCAGCTCAAGAAGCAGCCGTCAGGATGTTCCCCATCCTTGTCCCCATCTTGAACTTGCCAGGCATTCGGGAGTGGAGCGGTGGATGAACACTGGGTCTGTCTCTCAAGTAATAATCACAGAAACTGACAGAGAGAGGGAGGGAGAGAGAGAGAGATCTTCCATCTGCTGGTTCCCTACCCAAATGCCCACAGTAGCCAGAGCTGGGCCAGGCCAAAGTCGGGAGCCAGGAGCTATCTGAATCTCCCACAAGGGTGGCAGAGACCCACATGCCTGGATCAGCATCATCTGCCTTCCCAGACACATTGGCAGGAAACTGGATCAGAAGTGGAGTAGCCGGGACTCAAACCGGCACTCCAATATGAGGTGCTGGTGTCCAGCAGAGGCTTTTTCCCTCTGTGCACGATGCCCACCCCAACACACCAGTTTGTACTCGTTCATAAGTGGAGTGATTGTTTCCAGTGACTGTTAGGAAAGAACTGCTATGAATGTTTGTGTACAAGTCTTTGATTTATTTCTCCTTTGTATACAGCTAGGAGTGTGACTGCTAAGTCACACACAACGTGTATTTTTAACTTTATTCTTAAATGCCAAAGAACTACTTTCAGGAGGGGTAACTCCAATCAAAAGACCGATCTTCTGTATAACACATGCATGGAAAGACTCGGGGGGTAGCTGTGGGCTGTGATGCCAGCATCCCATAGGGGCACCAGTTCAAGTCCTGGCTGCTCCTTCTGATTCAGCTCCCTGCTAGTGTGCCTGGGAAAGCGCAGAAGATGCTCAAGTACTTGGGCCCCTGCTACTCACGTGAGAAAGCCAGATGGAGCTGGCGCCGTGGCTCACTTGGTTAATCCTCCACCTGCGGTGCCAGCATCCCATGTGGGCGCTGGTTCTAGTCCCAGCTGCCCCTCTTCCAGTCCAGCTATCTTCTGTGACCCAGGAAAGCAGGAGGATGGCCCAAGTGCTTGGGCCCTGCACCCGCATGGGAGACCAGGAAGAAGCACCTGGCTCCTGCCTTCGGATTGGCACAGCACCGGCCGTAGCAGTCATTTGGGGAGTAAACCAATGGAAGGAAGACCTTTCTCTCTGTCTCTCCCTCTCACCATCTATAACTCTACCTGTTAAATAAAAAATAAATTAAAAAAGAAAAAAGCTGGATGGAGTTCCAGGATCCTGGCTTTGACCTGGTCCAGTGCTGACTATTACAGCCATTTGGTGAGTGAACCAGCAGATGGAAGGTCTCGCTCTCTTTTTCTCTCTCCCTCTCTCTATATCAGTCTGCCTTTCAAATAAAATTTTTTTTTATGTAGTCTCTTTGGGGCCGGCTCTGTGGTGTAGCTGGTAAAGCCACTGCCTGCAGTGCCGGCATCCCATGTGGGTGCCAGTTCAAGTCCCGGCTGTCCAGTTCCAATCCAGCTCTCTGCTGTGGCCTAGGAAAGCAGTAGAAGATGGCCCAGGTGCTTGGGCCCCTGCACCCATGTGGAAGACCCAGAAGAAGCTCCTGGCTCCTGGCTCCTGGCTTCGGATGGGCGCAGCTCTGGCCGTTGCAGCCATCTGGGGAGTGAACCAGTGGATGGAAGATCTCTCTCTCTATCTATCTATCTGAAACTCTGCCTTTCAAATAAATAAATCTTTAAATAAATAAAACGTGGTCTATTGATACAGAATAGTAAGCTATCGGCAATAAAAAGGAACATGCTCTAATGCATATAAAGTCATGAACAAATCTCAATCCACCCAGCTACATGAGGGGAAAGTTTGCATGTTATACAATACCATTTTTTTTTAAGATTTATTTTATTTATTTGAAATACACAGTTACAGAAAGAGGTAGAGACAGACAGAGAGAGAGGTCTTCCATCCGCTGGTTCACCCCCAGATGGCCGCAATGGCCGGAGCTGCGCCGTTCCGAAGCCAGGAGCCAGGAGCTTCCTCCACATCTCCCACATGGGTGCAGAGGCCCAAAGACCTGGGCCATCCTCCACTGCTATCCCAGGCCATAGCAGAGAGCTGGATTGGAAGAGGAACAGCCGGGACTAGAACCAGCGCCCATATGGGATGCCGGTGCCTCAGGCCAGGGCATTAACCTGCTGCGCCACAGCGCCGGCCCCATACAATACCATTTATATCAAATCCTAGAAAAGACCATTCATACCGACAGAGCCGAGCAGCGATTGCCAGGAGCAGAATTTGGGGGTGGTAACCGACTACAAAGAAGCATTAAAGACCAACTGTACACTTTATTGTACATAAATTATACCTCAATAAAACTGAAGTTAAAGATTTATATTACTGCTGAAGGCAAGCTGAAACCGCAATAAGATAGCATTACACCCCACTTGAGAATAGTAAAAATTAAAGGAACTCAGAATAACTAGTTTCCCAGCAGAATGATTGATGGCTACTGTACTTCAGCATACTGGAGTGTGCTTTCTTATCAGAGGGCAAGTCTCATAGCCAGAGCATGGAACAGCGACTGATTTGGGTAAAACAGCCTTTGAGATAGACCTTGTCCCTAAAGTGTGGACAGCTACTTCACTGTGCACATAGCTATGGCCTTGGAGACAACCAGACTTTGTCCTTGACTAGATCT